CCATTGGAGAGCCTGTGGTGCCAAAGAGAACTCCCAGCCAGTATTCAAGAAGGGAAGCTGACTGTGAACTTACCTTGGGAGTGCACCATAGGGGAGTTCTATTGTCTAGAATACATATTCCCACAAGTAGAAAATGAACTATTTCTTGACAATCAGATCTTACCCCTTTTTAAATGTTCTGGGCAACACAACTACAAGGTCCATGTGGCTCATGTAAGTATAATTATGTAGTGAAATTGTATGGTATATGCCTATACACCAGTAGTGTACACCTGTATTGTGAAATTTGCTAATATAACCATTTCAATAAAATCCTATTGGAAATGCTGTCTTGGGCACACAAAGTATTTTAAGGCCACAGTCAGTGGGAACACATGTCAGCAAAGACCTCACTGGTTATAAGTGCCAATGGGCTACAGCACAAGGGGGTGACTCCTCCTAGATACACTGTCCTGGGGTACATACATGTAAGATGTGGTATGGCAGGACTGGGCCCTCCAACACTAACATCTGGACACATGTGCCAGCTTTGTCTCCTTGCCAGGCCCAGGGAACACATGGCCTCCTCAGCACAGAGCTGGTGGCCTGCTTTCTCAAGAAGTGCCCCAGACCAGAAAGGCTTCCTGGTTTGTTGGAGGCTCACAACCGTCACCCAGGCAGCCACTGTGAGGATGACCTTCTCAGCAGGGGCCCTGCCTCTGCAGCCAGAATTGTGGAAGACAAGAACCCAGGGCTCTAAAACCCCGATTTCCCAGAAAGGTCAAGTGGATGTTAGAGGCTTAGCATCAAATGTCTGGTCTGCATAGAAACATCTGGAAACAAAAAGGTCTGAATGTTGATGCTACCTATACCAGGTACCAGTGTGAACTTGGCAGATCATTTCACCTGTATGGATTCAGTCTTACCATTTCCGAAATGGAGATCATAAAACATCTACCCTATTGGGTTGGCAGGTGGGGTTTTTTAAAATATTTACACAATTGAGAGGGATGCACACCCATGTGGGCTGGCGATTAGATTTAAAACAAAAGTGGTTTTACTATCATATGTCCAATAACAGTCTGGTACCTGGAACACAAAGACCTTGACAGTAATGAGACAACCCAATTTTAAAACAGGCAAAAAATATGAATAGACAAAAAAGTACAAATAACCAACAAGCACATGAAAAGATGCTCCACATTGTTAGTCACCCAGTAAATGCAAATTCAAACCACAATGAGACCTCACTCCACCCCTCTAGAATTGGCTGTAATGAGAGAGACAGCAGCAAAGTGTTGAGATCTGCAGAAGTTGGGCTGTCACGCATTGCCTATAGGATATACAGTACTACAGACTTTGCTCAGAAAGTTAAACATCACATCTAGGATATACCCAAGAGAAATAAAAACGCATCTACATAAAAACATGTAGCATTTTATTCTCATAATTGCCTCAAGTGTTCATTAACTGATGAGTGAATAAGAAGAATGTGGCATGTCCATACCATGGAATGTCATCCAATCACACACACCCAGACACACATACACAAATGCCTCAAGCCGGAACATGGGAGACTTTTGAAAGCATTATGGGCTAAAAGGCCATAAAGTGTATGGTTCCATTTATATGAAAGAAAAGGACAAATGCATAAACACAAAAAGCAGATTAATGGTTGCCAGGGGCTAAGAAAAGGGCCTCCTGGATGGTAAGTGACTGCTAGCAGGTACAGGGGATGAAAATATTCTGGAATTACGAAGTTAGCTTTATGATGCAACAGATTAAGCTGCCACCCGCAACCCCAACATCCCATCTGAGCACTCATTCAAGTCCTAGCTGTTTCACTTGTGATCCAACTCCTTATCACCCATGTAGGAGTCCCAGATGAAGTTCTAGGCTCCTTGCTTCACCCTGGTCCAGCCCAGCCATTGTGGTCATTTAAAGAGTGGACAAGCAGATGGAAGATTTCTCTCACTCTCTCCCTACCCCTGTTTCTGCAACTCTGCCCTTCAAATAAATGGAAATGCCTAGAATTAGTGGCAATTGCTATACAAACTTGTGAATATACTAAATAAGACTGAATATACTGAATTGTGTACTTTAAAAGTTTTTGCTTTGTTTTAGATTTATCATCTGGGGCTGGCATAGTAGCATAGCAAGCTGGTCCTCTGCCAGCAATGCCAGAAGCCTATATGGGCACCGGTTCATGTCCTGGCTACTCAAGTTTCAATCCAGTTCACTGCTGGGAAGGCAGCAGAGGATGGCCCAGGTTTCATCCCCCCGCACTCACGGGGGAAACCTAGAAATAAGCTCCTTGCTTTGGAGGCTCAGCTCTGAGCATTGCGGCCATTTGGGGAGAAAAACAGCAATAGATGATCTCTCCTCTCTCTGTAAAAATCTAGCTTTCAAGTAAAAATAAATCTTTTTAAAAGAGAAGAAATGTATCTGCTTGAAAAGCAGAGAGCAGACAATGAGAGGCAGAGAGAGAGTTTCCATCTGCTGTTTACTCCCCAAATATCTACAACAGCCTGGCCTGGGTCAGGATGAAACCAGGAGCCAGTAAGCCCATGCTGGTCTCACCCTGGGATGCAGGGACCAAGGACTTGGGGCATTTCCTGCAGCTTTCCCAAGTGCATTAACAGGAAGCTGGATTAGAAGCAAAGCAACAGAAAAAAAGGAACAAGACTTAGTACATGCTAAGTGTTCAAAAACATTTCTTGCTTTCCTTCTTACACAGAACAGTCCTTGAACACCAGTCTGCAGGTCAGCAATATTTGAATCTCCTAGGAACTTGCTGGAAATGCCTGTATTCCAGGCTCATCCACCTGTGTTTTAACAAGCCTGGCAGTGATCGTAATGCAGGCTCACACTTGAGAACCCCTGGAAGGAGGACCAGGACAACCCTCATTTCTTCTGAAGGTGTTAACTAGCAGAGTTGGCAGTCTACACCCATGAGGATGCAGGCCACTGCAGATGGTAAATCCCCTGAGGGGAAAGTCACACGACTACATTTAATAACCTTTACATTGTAGTAGACATTGTAGATCACCTAGAATTATTTAAAATATACAGGAGGAGGTACATCCTATGTAAATGCAAAGGTATTTCAGAAAGTTTGGAAATGGAATTAGAGAAATTAATTTACTGTGGTGCAATCCGTACGTAGTTTTTTTTAATGCACATTTTGCATGTATTACGGAAAACAGTTACACCAAAAACTCCTTTGCACTGAAATGAATTCATTTTTAATGTCCATTTTTCCACAAACACTCCAAAGTAGCCTATATTGCATCATTTTATGTAATTGGTTTGAGCTTCAGAATCCGTGGAGGGACGGAGGAAGGTCCTGAAACCAAACCCCTACTGATACTACCTCAAATTCTTTTTTTATTTAAATATTTTATTTTGAATTTTTGAATTTTGTAAAATTTCATATAGACTGGGATTCACCCCCAAACCCCCACCCCCCGACAGATTTTCCCCATGTTGCTGCAATAGTCTAGTCCTTCATAAGGAGTCATAATTCCACCAGTCTCTTATTTAAGTGTGCCCTGACACTGCTGGTACAGAGGTCCTGAAACCAAACCCCTCCTAATACTACCTCAAATTCATTTTAAAAAGGTCACAATGACTGGAAGTGAGGTGAGCCAAAGCCAGGAGCCTGTTCTGGGTCTCCGACGAGGGCATAGAGTCCCAAGGCTGTGAGCCATCTTCCACTGCTTTCCCAGGCCACAAACGGAGCTGGATGGGAAGTGATGCAGCCAGCACACAATCCAGAGCCCATGTGGGATGCCTCCTTCCAGTGCTTGCAGGCGGAGGATTATCCAATTGAGCCATTGTACCAGCCCTTCTAAATTTTTTAATTTTTTTTAGTTGATTTGGAAGATAGCTGATCTGTCACCTGTTTGCCTCTCCAAATACTGCCACAGCTGGAGGTAGGCTAAGCCAGGCCAAAATCAAGAACTAACATTCGCCTTCCCCATGCTGGTGGCAGGCACACAAGTACTTGAGCCATGACCCCCAGGAAGCTGGAATGGAAGAGTGCAGCTGGCACTTTAAACCCAACTACTAGGATAATGGGATGCAGGTGTCTCAGGCAGCAGTCCACCACTGTGCCAAACATGTGCTCTCCAGCACTTCAACTTGTTGAGGGAAGATTTCTTTTCAGCTGGCACAATGGCAGTTTAAGCTTCTGAGGTCTTAAAGCCGCCGGCCGAATCAGTCTCCAGCAACGCCGCAGAGGACTCGCTGTCAATCCAGATGTCGACCTTCTTCACACTTGGCCTCCTGGACGCCCACGACAGAAGCCAGCCCCTGAGCAGCTCAAGCCTCAGGGGGACCCCAAGGTGCCGCCATCGTCTGCACAGGGGCAGCCGACCCGAGACCCACAGCTATGCCCCAGAGGAAGCTCGCCGCCTCCTTCCAGGGGGATGGAGACTTCCTCAGCGCTGCTTCCTCAGCGCCTGGCACACAGAACTGCCTCGCCGGGCACCCGAAGTCACATCGCGCTTGTTTTGCCTCCTGCTCGGTGGCAGGGAGACGCCGGTGTTTGAGCAAGGAGGATTCTGCCCCCTACAGGTCGACAGCGGCAGGGCCGGCCCTGCGCGGCCTGCGGCGCCCGCGCCTGCGCAGCAGCCTCCCCCGCCTCGGCCAGCCCCCAGCCGATGGCCGCCAGGCCGCAGCGACGCCTTCCCCGGGACGGGCGCCTGTCTGGCTCGGGGCTTCCTGACGAGCTGGCACCGGCTCTGCAGGTTCCTAGCCCGAGGAGCATGGCCGACCTGGCCCTTCCCCAGAGGCCCGCCTCAATGTCACCACGCACGGGGCCGCGCCGCAGTCCGCCAGCGAGACGTGTCCAAATCCCTATTTCTTGACGTTTTTCTCCCTCCTTCCTGGCCGCGGCGAGCGGGGCGGGGAGCGGCTGTGTGCGCCGGCGCCCGCCAGGGGGCGCCGCCCGGCCCCGCCTGCTCGGCCGCTCGACTCGGGCGGCTCCCGCAGCCCCCGCGGCTCCCGAGGCCGACGCTTCCGCCTCACGGGCCTCGGTACGCAGCGAGCGGCGCCGCGATGTGGCTGGGCCCCGAGGAGGTGCTGGTGGCCAACGCGCTGTGGGTGACGGAGCGGGCCAACCCCTTCTTCGTGCTGCAGCGGCGCCGGGGCCACGGCAAGGGCGGCGGCCTCACGGGTGAGCGGCGCGGGTGGCCGGGCCTGTGGGGCGCGGGGAGGCGCGGGGATGGCCGGGCGGGCGCGCGGCGGCGACGGAACGGGGCGTGAGGAGAAGAGGGGCCGCGATTGCACGGGGGACCTGGCCGAGGGGGCCCGGGATGGGGGGCGGTGCCGCGACCCTCGAGCCTGCGGTGGTGCAGCGTCTCGGAGTGGACACCTCAGCCCAGAGTCAGCCGCTCCTCCCAGGGCCCGTCCTCCGCCGCATAGGTGACCCTAGTGCCTCTGGGGCCCCGAGTGACACAAGCACTGTCTTCTGTCCCTTCTTCGTTCTCAGACCGGCAGACGCAGGCCTTCGGGCCCGCTTCCCCCGCTTCTGCTTGCCCTGCCTCCCTGCTTTGTGCAGCCCCGGAGCCGCGGGGTGCCTGGGCCTGTCACACTGAAGGAGCCTGGATGGGCACCCCAATTATGCACCTGTTCCCCCTGGCGGAACCTGTGCCACACCCCCTCTGCAGGTGTGACCCAAGAGCCCCAGGAGCAGAGCTGTGTCAGGCTTAGGACTGGCCCGCGGGGAGACCAGGGCATGCCTTCCTCTGGGTGCGGATTGTTGCCCCGTGGATGCTGGCCCAAGGTTGCCCCATCTTCCAGTTTTGGTTGCCCCATCTTCCAGTTTTTCAGTAGAACTTTCTGCGGAACATGCTAATTTTCAGTGTCCCAGACAGAGGCTTCCCACAGGTTATTTCTGCGCCCAGCCAGTCTTGGGCTACGCCTCTTAATTTAGAAGAGATTGTACCCGCTTCCAAGAAAACTCAGTGTTCTCTTGTATGCTTCTGGCACCCTCCCAGCAGCCCTCAACAGCCAGGCCAGTCCATGCTGGGCCTGCCTCCTTGGCTTAGCCAGCGGCCCCTTGGAGAGTCCCGTGATCTGCCTGGGAGCTACCACAATCCATGGAAGAAAACAACGTGCCTGCTGTCCAGTCACTTTTGTGACAGCGGTGCCAGCGTGCTTCTGCGCTTATTCTGCCCTAGGTCATCTCAATTGATGGGGACTGTGACGGCCTTTCTCCTGTCTGCTCCACTTCTCCATGTCTCCTGCCAAAACTCACATCCCATGAAGCCCATGCACTGCTGTCTCCCTCGGGAGCAGATACTACCACAGCCCAGGGAACTGCTCCTTGAACCCCCGCCACCTTCTGAGGTGGAGTGAATCCTGCTGTAGCCTCCACCGTGGCCTTCTCTGCCATCACAGACACTGTGGCCTCACAGGCACTGTCAAGGTGGCACTGATGTAGTTTTCTTCAAGCCATCGTTTTCACATGTTCCCTTCCTTGGACTTTGCGTTGGAGTCCGTGTGATGAAATAATTGGCCCACTTAAAAGCATTCAGGTCTCACAACATGATTATGCCGACAGTTTAAAGACTCTAAGATTTACAAGAGAAACCCCAAGAGAAGCAATCAAGATGTTTTATCCCAAATACTGACAAAGTTTAAGCGTCCTCTTGATTGGTTTAAGTGAAACAGATGAGACATTACAAACTCATGATTTGAATGTATGTACGCACCTTTTGTAATCATTGTTTCTATTTGCTAAAGACTAGAGAAAGAAAACATTAAAAATTAATGGACAATGGGCTGGCATTATGGCTCAGTGGATAAGCCACTGTCTGTGACACTGGTATCCTCTGTGGACTCCTCTGTTGGTTCATATCCAGGCTGCTCCACTTGCCATCCAGCTCCCTGTTTATTACCTGAGAAAAGCATTGGAAGATGGTCCAACCTCTTGGGCCCAGCCACCCATGTGGGTGATCTAGATAAAAATTCCGACTTTGGCCTGTCCCAGACATCGCCACCCATCTAAGGAGTGAATCAGTGGGTGAAAGAGAGAGCTCTGTGACTCTTCCTCTTTTTGTGTAACTTGAATTTTTGAAATAAGTAAACCTGTAAAATAATAGGCAAACAAATGCTAAAGCTAACTGGTAGAAATAATTTCCTGACATCAATAGGAACATGGTCACAATAAGCATTAAAGGAAGACAAATTCCAAACAAAAACAATAAATGGGTTTTTTAGATTGCTTAACTATGCAGGAATAAAGCAGATAAAAGTATAGAAGATTTTATGTCTCCAGCTGATGTGTCTAAAGTAGAGAAGCCAGCCACAACTGCCCTGCTGTGAACTGGACGTGTATGTTAACAGTTCTGAAAAGGCGCATGATGAAGAGAGCCCAAAACTCCCTAAAAACTTCGTGCAGAGACAAAAAACCCAGATCAGTATATTCCCCAAAAGTGCCAATTCTAAAAATGCTTGTGACCTTTTTGGTACTGACTTTCAAAGCTGAAGGAAGGAACTTCCTTAAACTGTGAGTCTAATGGAACGCGTGACCCCAGAGCAGAGGAAAGTTCATCCTCTCCCAGTTCTGATAGGAACATGGTGTTCCAATACCAGCCTTCCACAGACAGGCGCGAGGTGGCAGACTCACAGCCAGAAACATCAGGGAAAAATATCTGACAGCTGATAAAACAGGATGATAGTTTTCTGGGCTTTGTAATATTTGTGGTATGTTTAAAGTTTTCACTTCTTAACTGTTACATATAGATTGTAAAGAAATCATCATTTTTTGTGGTTTTCAAGAATTTATTTGAAAGCCTTTATTTCTGTAGAGGCCTTCTAAAGAGAGATGGTCCATCTACTAGTTCACTCTTCAAATACCTACATGGGCCAGGCTGAAGCCAAGAGACTGCATGTGGGTCTCCCACTAGGGAGACCCATGGGTACAGGTGCTCAGGGACTTGGACCATTCTCCGCTGTTTTCCTGGACACATTATCAAGGAGTTGGATTGGATGTGGAGGAGCTGGGGCTCTGTTTGGCACCCACATGGAATGCCAGCACCACATGCCACTACGTCACAGCACCCTCCCATTTTTTTGTGTTGAAAAAAGTCTCACAGAATTGTTTAGCTTTGAATTCCATAAAACCTGCGTTTTGGGGTTCTGAGCCAGGAGAAGAAGCAGATGCTTCTGATAAGAAAGAAGAAGGGGACTTTGTGGTTGAGATTGGGCTCCAGCTGAGAGTCTCTGAGGAAAAGAAACCCTGTGAGCACGGAGGAGCCAGGATGTCTCTCTCCTTGCGCTCAGACCTTCAGATAATGCCGTCATCACACTGCCATCCCAAGGCAGACTATCAGCCTCTGCCTGCAGCGACCTCTCTTCATTCTTCACATCTCTCTGCCCTGCCCCCAGGTCTTCTCGTGGGCACCCTGGATGTGGTGCTGGACTCCAGTGCCCGTGTGGCCCCCTACCGCATCCTGCACCAGACCCAGGATTCGCAGGTCTACTGGACAGTGGCATGCGGTAGGTTCCTTGAGTCATGAAGGGTGCTATGCATGGCCTGCTTATACAGACAGCCCCTGGAAGGAGGAGACCACAGCCTACATGTCCTGGCGGTCTCTCCACACAGCCAGCAAGAAGGAGGTGGGAGGGCTGCAGATTCCAGCTTAGAAAGGCAGCCCCATTGTTCGCAGGGATGGAGCGGAGAGCAGATGTTCCCTTGGAGCCCCAGTAACAGGGCACAGGCTCCAGGCTTGCCTGTGACCTTATTTTCATGGCTGTCTCTTCTGGGGCAGATAGGTAGGCCTCATTGCTGAGCAATTCCATATTTTCAAGTCTACTTACTCTCTAAAATTTATAACCCTCAAATTAGTATCTGTGGGTGGTTTCATGCTCATTTGGAGGTTTTTGTACATGTATACAACATGGTGAAACATCTGAGTCATCTGCTCTGCATGTCCCTGGTGGGGGTGGACAGGGTAGCATCTGCCTTTTGGATTCAATGCTCACATAGTGAGTGTGTCTTTTGATCAGCTTGGTACCACACTACGCAGAACCACCACTTTTTTAACTTCTGTGTTTTCCATTGATGTCAGTATTGAAAATGGGGTACCGGCATCTGCTGTTCCCGGGGACAGGAAATGTGTGTTAGATGAGCATGAGTTATATGGAGGTACTCAGAAAGTTTGTGCAGAAGTGGAGCTAGAAGATGAGTTTATATTGATAGCAACAACGACAGAAAAGAAGATTGGCAATGTGTGCATAGTTTGTTTACATAATACACCATTCACATAACCCTTCTGAGGACTCCCATAGAGAGAGAACATTGCTGGCAGAGGGCATGGTGCTGGTAACCAACAATAATGTTTAACTGAAACAGTGACATGTCCACCAATTGACAAAAATTCAATGCTCAAAGTCTCACAGCCCCCTAGCCCTGCATTTCCAATGGGACATTGGTGGTTTAGCATTCTGTGATTCAGAGTTCAAGGGGCTTTCTGAATCAGACTCATGGGTAATAGGAATCTGCTGTGGTTGTTCTGCTAGGAGAAAGAGCCCCAACCCTTCCCAAGAGTAGGGGAGGAGTACCCCTTTATAGGGCACTGATGGAATGAAGCCACAGCTGGCACTCATACTCTTTTCCCACGTGTGCTGGACCCTTGTCTGACCCTCCCACAGCTCCAAGACACACAGGAGCTCTGACTTTCTTTGTTTCTAAGAGCAAAAAACTGGCCCAGAGGCAGGGTTGAGTCACACAGCTGCAGCTCACATCAGACCCTCTGCTCTAACCACAGAAGAAGCCTCTACAGGCCAGAAGCCATGGGGTCCTGTCCCTCAGGATGGTGGTCTTCCTTGGAGGCATCATAGCAGGACACATGAGCAAAGGGGTAAAAGCACAGAGGGGCAGCAGCCCAGGGACAGCCTCCACTCACTGAGCATCCACCCTTTGTGAAGTGACTAAACTCAGCATTGTCCTACATGTGGGACACCAATAGGGACTTGAATTGAGTATTAACGTGACTAAAATATGTCACTGAAGTAGTCACAGAGTTGAATTTGCAGGTCTTAATGAGTTAAAAAGAATTAGAAAGGTGAGCTAGCCCATGGCCTATGGGAGCTAAAGACTGGGCCTTGCCTTGAGCTGGGTCCAGGAGACCGAGGTGTGCCTGGGCAACACAGTGGCTGGAAGTTACTTTAACATGGACACCCTCAAGAGTCTCCTCACAGAATCAGTGAGTTCATGTGCTAGGAACAGAAGGGTATGGGGTGGTAGCCCCTCTGTGGGGAGAGGAATCATGGCTGCAGAATGGGAGTCTCTGGTACAGGGCACGGGTCCCTTTGGTGACTACACAGCCTGGTGCTATGGAGGTCTTGCCACATTGTGCAACACCAGTCCGTGTTGCACAATGTGGCAACACCTCACACCATACCCCGACTAGTCCCACCTGCCTACCTGGGCCTTGGCCCAAGCCTCCCACCCCCACCATCCTGCTTTGACTCTAGAAGCGGCTCACTTGGCTAGGGCATCCCAGCCCCTGAGCTTGGCATTGAAAGACTTCTAGGGTCTCCCTGCCTATATTTTTGTCCTCATCCTTCCTGTTCAGTGCCTGGCCTTCAGTCAGACTGCACACTTACAAGACCTGAAACTCTTATCCATATGCTCCAAGTCTCATAACTGCCTAGCTTTCCCTCCTGCTCTGCTGAGACTCTCCTGATGTCACCACCCAAGAAAGCCTCCCCAGATTCCTTAGACCTTTGTTTCCAAAAGCACTCTCCATGTAAGTGTCTCCCATTAGGGCCCAGCATGGTAACCTAGTGGCTAAATTCCTTGCCTTGCATGCCCACCGGGATCCCATATATAGGTACCGGTTTGTGTCCAGGCTGCCCTGCTTCCCATCCAACTCCCTACGTGTGACCTGGGAAAGCAATAGAGGACAGCCCAAAGCCTTGGGACTCTACATCCACCTGGGAGACCCAGAGGAAGCTCCTGGCTCTTGGCTTTGGATTGGCTGAGTTCTAATCATTGTGGCTACTTGGGGAGTGAACCAGTGGGTGGGAAATCTTACTGTCTTTCCTTCACTCTATAAATTCTGACTTTCCAGTAAAAATAAATCTTTAAAAAAAAGAAAGAAAGAAAGTGTCTTCCATTAGGCCAGCAGCTCCTGAAGGTGATAGTGGCCTCTGCAGCCAGCCAATCTGGGCTGCGGCTCCATGTTGTCCGCTTGACAACTGTGTGTTTGAACAACTTACTTAACCCAATATTTATGGATTCTCTGTCTCCCGTGTTTTCTGAAAAAAGATAACCTACGGCAAGTTCTGAAAACAGAAGTAGCATTGAATAGTCTAATTAGCTATTTTATTTTTATGCCTAATACCTTCCATAGAGATGGTATAGTTTGTTCATCCTTTGTATACAACTTTCTGTCAAATGAAGGCAGAGTTATTTTTTAGCTACTCATTTTAAATTCACGTAAGCAAACACTTAACTGAAGACATCCACACAGGTGGCATGGAGAAGAACTCTTCTGTTTTAGGTGCCAAGAATGTGGGGTGGAATGACTCAGTAGAAGTGTGGCAGTTGTAACTTTAACTTCCTAACTGAACCACGTACTCTTGACGAAAAGGCAGAGAGATCACACGAAGAAATCCCTTCCCTAGCAACCAGACCTTGGCCTTTTTGCGACAGATGCAAAACCAAGGGGAAAGCAAATGTATGGATGACTTTAGGGATCATGGGGTGATTGCCACAGCCTGCTGTGATTCATTGTGTGTTATGTAACTCCAGGGAGATCATTTTCATGTGGGCACATTGGGGAGGCTCTTCCCTTATTAGGTTGATGAGCATTTTTAGCTGAGACTACTGGGCTGTGGCAGAGCAAACACCACTGTGAGCTAAAAAGAGTGGCAGGGACCTACCTCGCCTGGCCAGCTGGGGTTCTGTGGGCATTGAGTAGGAAGAAGAGAAGGTTACAGTGAAGGAAAAGATGGGGTGGCCAGGATCAGGCACCCCAGACAAAAAGCCCGATTCATGCCCACTGGGCTTGGTTATTGGCTGAGGCTCACCACATGCCAATCTTCCTGTGAGTCACATGATTGACTTGGCCTTCTTGGGCCTTTAGTCCTCAGACTCTTCTACCCAGGACCCCTGAGGAGGATATGAGTCATCTTCCTATTGTCCTTTTCTTCATTCATCAGAAAACAATTGTTGAGTGTGATTCCCACCCAGACATGCTAGGTAGGGTGCCGGTTGTAAGGTGAGGCAGGCCAGGAGAACTCTCATTCTCTGACTTGTTTTCTGGTTCCCTTTCCCCAATTTCTTGATGGACATAAGAGTTTTCTTGCCCTGAGGAAGTAGTGTGGTGCTTCCTGCCCTGTTTTTTCGTTTTCCTTTGGCGTCTGATGGACCCTCCAGGGTCCCATGCTGCAGAGGGACAGGGGTCATTTGTAGGCCAGAGGCAGAGCCAGCTAGTAAAGCTGAAAAGAAGGGTGGTAGCTGCTTGCCCAACCAGCAGGAGCCTGGCCAGCCAGGGCCTGGAGTCCTGTAGGAACCTGTAGCTGGCAGCTCTGGATGCCTGAACTCTCATGAGCAAGGTGGAGTCGCTGCTCCAGTCTGCGTCTCCTGAGGCACCGGGATGCCAAAGACCACGTTAAGTTCTGTCAACCTGAACAGTTCTTACATGTTATCCCAGTCTAGGGAGGCACAGTGACCAACTGTGACTCTGCCTGAATTCTGTTCTTTGATTTTTACCAGGACTGTTCATTCTTTTTGTTACATACAGAAAAGTTTTAGAAAAAACCAAGTAGTTTGAAGCTTCTCATCACACACACTTGGCAGATTAGGTGTTCCATTTATCTATTTTTTTTAAGATTTTTCTTTTTATTGGAAAGTAATTTACAGAAAGAAAGAGACAAAAAGAAAGATATTCCATCCACTGGTTCACTCCCCAAGTGGCTACAATGACTGGAGCTGAGCTGATCCGAAGCCAGGAGCTTCTTCCAGGTCTCCCACATGGGTACAGAGTCCCAAAGTCCTGGGCCATCGTGCACTGCTTTCCCAGGCCACAAGCAGGGAGCTGGAAGGGAAGTGGAGCAGCTGGGACACAAACTAGTGCTCATATGAGGTCCTGGCAGATGCAAGGGCTTAGGCTACCATCCAAGGCCCTTCCATTTTGTTTTTTTAACAAATCCTTGACAAAAGTTTTGTTTATTTTATTTGAAAGGCAAAGAGACGGCAACAGTGACAGAGTTTTTCCATCCACTGGTTCACAAATACCCACATTAATTAGGGCTGTCCAAATGGAAGCCAGGAGCTTGGACCTCCATCTTGGCTGCCCAACTGGGTTGCAGGGACCCAATATACTTGAGCATTCACCTGCTTCCTGTCAGGATGCACATTATCAAAAGGCTGTAAGCAGTAGGGGTGGGACTTGAACCCATGCATTTTGATATGGGACATCTTAAAATATATATTATTTGAAAGGCATTTAGAGAGCAAGCAAACAAAATATATATTTATATATATATATCTTTAAATATATATATTATATATCTGTAAATATATACATTTATTTTTATTGGAAAAGACAGATTTACAGCGAGAAGGAAAGACAGAAAGATCTTCCATCCACTGGTTAACTCCTCAAGTAACTGCAAGGGCCGGCACTGAGCCGATTCGGACCTAGGAGCTTCTTCTGGGTCTCTCACATGGGTATAGGGTCCCAAATCTTTGAACTATCCTCTTCTGTTTTCCCAGACCACAGGCAGGGAGCTGGCTTGGAAGTGGAGCAGCTGGGACACGAAGTGGCAGCCATGTGGGATGCTGGCACGTACAAGGAGAGAGACATCAGACTAGGCCCAAGAGGTTTTTTTAATCTGTTGATTCATTCTCCAGCTGGCTGCATTAATTGGATGTGGGCTGATCCAAAGCCAGAGCTTCTTCCAAATCTCCCACATGAGTGCAGGGTTCCAAACACTTGGACCATCTTCTGCTGCTTTCTCAGACTATTAGCAGCCAGGGCTCGAGCTAGTGCTCACTTAGGAGGCCAGCCGTGCAGGCAAAGGCTGAACCTACCACGCACACACCAGCCCCGGAAGCAGCGTCCTGACCGCTGCACCAAATGGTTCCCCCAGGACTCTTTGTTTCAACCTATGCATCTGGCATAGCAATTTTACAAACTTTTTTCTTTACTTCATGATTCTTCTAGGTTCTTCCCGCAAAGAAATCACAAAACACTGGGAATGGCTGGAAAATAACTTACTTCAGACACTGTCCATCTTTGATAATGAGGAGGATATCACCACCTTTGTCAAGGGGAAAATACACGTAAGCCTTACAGTTTGTTGTTGTTGTTGTAAGATTTATTCATTTTTTAATTGGAAAGACATTTACGGAGAGACAAAAAGATCTATCTGCTGGTTCACTCGTCCAGTGGCCAAAGTGGCCAGAGCTGAGCTGATCCAAAGCCAGGAGCCAGGAGTTTCTTCTGGGTCTCCCATGTGGATGCACGGTTCCAAGGCTTTGGGAACTCCTCTGCTGCTTTCTCAGGCCACAGGCAGGGAGCTAAATGGGAAGTGAAAGCCAGGGTACAAACTGGCACTCATATGTGATCCTGGTGCATGCAAAGCAAATATTTAGCCACTGAGCCATCAGGCTGGGCCCAAGCCTTACATTTCTGCTAACTTCTGTGGTTGGAAGTGCTCACACACAGCCTTTCACTTCCATGGACTGTTCATCCAGGCTCAGCCAACCACAGATTGCAGATATCCAGGAAAAATATTGGATCAGTGCTGGACGTACACCGGTTTTCTTTCTTGTCCTCATTCCCTAAATAATGCAGTATAGTAAGTACTTAATGTAGATTCACCCTGATTTATCTATTGTAATAATCTGGAGATTGGGTTCAAAGCACACAGAAGTATTGTGTAGGTTCTTTGAAAATACCACATCGTTCTAAGGGAGGCAGCGTTGAGCTTCGGTGGATATTGGTGTCTGCAGAGGGGTTGTATGCAGGCCTTCATAGGTAGCAGATGATGGCTGGATACTGTCTTGTTTCATTTGCACATGACATGGTGGAAGTGTTACCCTCATTTTAGAGATGCAAATTGAAGGGTTGAAAAGGAGTCATTGAACTCACTGCCCCGAAAGTCCCACTTACCTTGGCCAGTCACTGGTGCATCGGCTCCCAGTCTCAAAGTGTCTGGAGGGGCAAATATGGAGATATGAGGCTGTTCAGAATTTCATGGAAAATAGAGTTATCGTTTGTTTTGTTGCAAAAAATAAAATTAGAACCTAGAACCATTCATAGCTTTCCATAATCTTTATTTTCTGTGAACTTTAATCAGTTTATTATATACAACTTTCTCAGTTCGTTGGCTAACGGAGGAAGAAGCTGGCAGGATATTTAAAGTATTCTTTCATTATACGACCATTGTGTTTTAGCTGGGCATAGGTCCTTTCCCCACCAGGTCTACTCCTTTAGAGTGCCGCCTAAGGGTACCTGTATGCAGCAGTGCGCATGGATCTGGATGCTCCCTACAACACTGAGTGTGCAAACCCGGGAACTGGTGCCTGCCAGCAACAGGAGGGAGGAAGCAGCCTTTCTCTGGTACTCACTCGCCTTTGCTGAGTGCTATGTGGGTACCTTGCTGAGTGCTCTGTCTTCAGAGGAGACTTGTTAGATTATAGGTGGTTATACTTAATGCAGCCATCAAAAGAATGATTGTTAGCATTGTAATCATGTGTAACAACTGACCTCATAGTGGTATCTAGGTTGTTTTTTTAGATGTGATTACTGGCATAATGAACATTTGAGTGGACATACTGTTTTCAGTTGGTCTCCTGGAAGAGTTCTGACTGTCCAGTTGCTAGGAGTAGGCCTCAACCTCCAAAGCTTCACAGGATTGGACAGATGGCACCAAGCTCCTCTGCTTTTTCTCTGTGCATTCAGGAATCAAGGCAGGCCCTATGTTACCTCCTGGTTCCAAGAACACAACAGAATCCTGGCAAAGAATATGGAGTCGCACATTGAGCAAGTTGGGCAATAGCTGAATGATAGCATTGTAACCTAATGCTTCCTATTCTGGGGGGATTTCAAAAAGTTTACGGAAAATAGAATTCACAGATAAGGATATATTTATTTATTTGTTTGTTTGTTTGTTTACGATTTTAAAGATGTATTTATTTTTATTGGAAAGGCAGATCTACAAATAGAAAGAGAGACAGAGGGCCCTGCGCAATAGCTTAGTGATTAAGGTCCTCACCTTCCACGCCCAGGATCCCATATGGTCACCAGTTCTAATCCCAGCGGCCCTGCTTCCCATCCAGCTTCCTGCTTGTGGCCTGGCAAAGCAGTCGAGGACGGCCCAAAACCTTGGGACCCTGTACCCGTTTGGGAGACCCAGAAGAGCTCCTGGCTCCTGGCTTCGGATTGGCTCAGCTCCAGCCGATGCAGTCACTTGGGGAGTGAACCATCAGACAGAAGATCTTCCTCTCTGTCTCTCCTCCTCTCTGTATATCCGCCTTTCCAGTAAAAATAAACAAATATATATATATATATATATATTTTAGAGATTTATTTTTATTATTTTTTTATTGGAAAGGCGGATATACAGAGAGGAGAGACAGAGAGGAAGATCTTCCGTCCGATGATTCACTCCCCAAGTGAGCGCAAAGGGTCGATACTATGCCGGTCCGAAGCCAGGAGCCTCTACTGGGTCTCCCACGCGGGTGCAGGGTCCCAAAGCTTTGGGCCATCCTCGACTGCTTTCCCAGGCCACAGGCAGGGAGCTGGAAGGGAAGTGAGGCTGCCGGGATTAGAACCGGTGCCCATATGGGATCCCAGGCGTGCAAGGTGAGGACCTTAAACCACTTGCGCCACCGCGCCGGGCCCACAAATATTTTTTTAAAAAAAAAAGCAGAGAGAGAGAAAGAGAGCAAGATCTTCAGCCTACTGGTTCATTCCCAAGTGGCTGTGGTGGCCAGAGCATTGTGCCATCCTCCACTGCTTTCCCAGGCCACAAGCAGGGAGCTGGAAGGGAAGTGGAGCAGCTGTGGGACACGAACCAGCGCCATAGGAGATGGTGGCATAGCAGACAGCGAGCTTTACCTGCTTTGCCCATGAAAGATAGGATTTTGTTGGTACAAAAAAAAAGTGTAAATCCATGGTGATTTTCTCACAATCTGCATTTTCCATGAACTTTTGAAGACTCCAAGTTTGCCAAGGCCCTAACAAACTGAGCAATAATGGGGAAAAAACACCTCTAAATGATTCATGGGTCAAAGAAAGAGAAATTAGGAGTGGGTGTTGGCACAGTGGTAAAGACACAGCTTGGACGCCCACATGCCTTGTCAGCGTTCCTGGTTTCAGTTGTCAGCTCTGCCTCTGATTCCGTTTTCCTGCTATCACTCATCGTGAAAGAGAGTGGGTCCCTGCCGCCCACGTGGGGTACCTGGGTTGAGTGCCAGGCTCCTAGCTTGGGTCTAGCTCTTATAGACATTTGGCATGTGAAACAGCAACCAGAAGATCGAGCTCTCTCCTTCTTCCTCTCTCGCTTTCTCCCTCTTCCTCCCTCCTCCTTCCCTCCGTTCCTTGTTATGCACATCCTGTCTCTGCCTTTCAAATAAATGAAAAAATGTGTTTTTGAAAAGTAGAAATTAGAAAACATTTGAGATGTAATGATCAAGTAAATGCACTATCAGTCAGATTTTGTGGGACACAGCAAAGGTACAATACATGAAAGGCAGTGTAAAAGCTGAGAGCTTGTGAAAGAGAAAAGGGCCAAAACCAATGAGCCAAGTGCCCAGGTGAGTGAGTTTGTGAAAGAAACAGAGAGACCAGGAGGCCAGGCGGAAGGAAATACCAGTGAGCCAAAGTGAATTCCATAGAAAACAAGGAAGCCATCCAGAAGTGAAGCAGATCCATGGGGCAGGTGACCCAGCGCAAGAGAGCAGTGAGGAATGTGAGCCTGAGGGGCACCTATAAAGAGCACAGTTTTGAAGATTTGCTGATTTTTATTGGAAAGGCAGATTTACAGAGAGAAGGAGAGAGAGGAAGATCTTCCAACTCTCGGTTCACTCCCCAAGTGTCCGCAACAGCCGAAGCTGAGCTGATCCAAAGCCAGAAGCCAGGAGCTTCTTCTGGGTCTCCCCTGAGGTGCAGGGTCCCAAGGCTTTGGACCATCCTCAGCTGCTTTCCTAGGCCACAGGCAGGGAGCTGGATGGGAAGTAGAGCAGCTAGAACATGAACCAGTGGCCACATGGAATCCCAGCACATGCACAGGGCCAAAAAACACAGTTTCAAATGGGAGGAAGAATGTCAGGAATAGCTTTGAGTCAAGAAATATAAAAACAAAGTGGGCATTTCCCAAAAACATTGTGTATTAGCTTTAAATTAGTACTTTAGTAAGTTATCACAAACCCAGCAGCTCTGAGCAGCAGTGATTTATTATCTTATAGTTTGGAAGGTGAAACACTCTCAATTCATGGTGTGGGCAGGGCTGGCTCCCCTTGAGGCTCTCAGAGGGGACTCTGCCTCCTGGCCTTTGGTGTGTGCTTCCAGAGGCCTCCTGTGCCCCTCGCTATTGGCCCCTTTGCTTTGCTGCCAACAGCATAACATCTTCAAGTCACTTCTGTAACTAGCCTGCATGCCTTCATTTTTACAGGGGCAGGAGGCATCTGGCCTCATGCTTTTAGTCCACCCATTGGAGGCCCACATCCTTTTTGGGAGTGCTCTCAATACCAGCTTCCTGCTAACACACACCCTGGGTGACAGAAGGTCATGGCTCAAGTGACTGGCTCCCTGCCACCATCGTGGGAGACCTGGCCTAGCACCAGCTGTTGTGGGCATTTGGAACTGAAACAGTGGGTAGGCGCTATTTCTGACTTTCTACCTCTCAGATCAAGTAAATAAATTAAAAAAAAAAAAAAAAAAGACCATGGAAAGGAAAAATAGAATTAAACACAGGTTTATTTTGGTACAAAAAAAGGTTTTAAATCCATGCTTTTTTGTCAAAAGCATTTTCCATAAACATTTTGAATTTTCTCATATATATAATTTCAAAAAAATTCTGGACCAAAATAAGCTTATCTTCTAGTCCATTTTCTTTTCATAAATGTTTTGAAGTCCCCTTGTATTGTCTAGGCATACAGCTGATTCCTGAAGCAGCTCCTTGCGACGACACACTGGCAGCTTACCAAAGGAGGCTTTCAGTGGATGTTGCAATGTAGTGGGTTAAGCCACTGTCTGCAATGCCAGCATTTCATATGGGAGCCAGTTTGAGTCCTGACTCCTCTACTTCCGATTCAACTCCCGACTAATGTACTTGGGAAGGCAGCAGCCTTCAGCCATTTGGGAGACCTGGTTGACACTCCTGGCTCCTAGCTATCCTGTGTCAGCCTTTAGCTATCAGAGCCATTTGGAACTGGTTGGAAGATCTCTCTGTCTCTCCCACTCTCTCTGTAACTCTTTTAAAATTAATAAATAAATATTTAAAAGAAGACTAAAGAGAAGAGGAGTGGAGAGGAGAGGACAGGAGAGAAGACAAGACAAGACTTAGGTTACAGTTACTGGGGCTTGTAGGAGGGAAGGAAAACCATTTTTCCTTCTATTTGATTGGAGTCATGGCTGGAACTCTGTAACAAGAGGTAGATTGGGCCTGGCGCCATGGCGTAGTGGTTAAGGTCCTTGCCTTGAACACGCCAGGATCCCATGTTAATGCCTGTTCTAATCCCAGCAGCGTCACTTCCCATCCAGCTCCCTGCCTGTGGCCTGAGAGAGCAGTCGAGGACAGCCGAAAACCTTGGGACCCTGCACCCGCTTGGGAGACCTGGAGGAGGTTCCTGGCTCCTGGCTTCAGATCAGCATGGCACCTGCCATTGCGGTCACTTGGGGAGTGAACCATCAGACGGAGGATCTTCCTCTCTGTCTTTCTTCCTCTCTGTATATCTGGCTTTGCAATAAAAATAAATAAATCTTTAAAAAAAAAAAAAACCAAGAGGTAGATTAGCAAGGGGAAAACAAGCAGACACTTATTTTATTTAGATTTGATTGTTACTTATTTATTTATTTGAAAGAGCTGCAGAGATAGAGAGCTTCCATCTGCTGGTTTACTCCCCAGATGCTGCAATGGCCAGGACTGGACCAGGTTGAACCCAGGAGCCTCATCTGAGTCTCCCAAGTGGGTTTCAGGGACTCCAGCACTTCGGCCATCTTCTGTTGCCTTCCCCAGCAATTAACCAGGAGCTGGATGGGAAGTGGAGCAGCCAGGGCTCCTATATGGGATACTGGCCTCTCAGGTAGCAGCTTTAACCACTATGCCGTGACGCCGGCTCCGAAGCAACATTTATTGATAGGTGTGTATCACATACACACAGGAGATACTCAGGAAAGAGCAGCAAGAGGGTTTGGTTAGAACTCAGCTTCATATTGCCCCTTAACAAAGGATCAGTAAACCTAAAGAGAAGTGACAGGACAGTGTGAGAAATAAACCCACCTAAGCACCCACCTACCAAAGGAAGGACTCAGAAACATGAAGGAAACAGAAGGCAAGGTGTTTGTTAATAACGCCATCTGGAAAGCAGTGGCTGGCAGGTGGAAGTTGGGAAGATCAGTTCCTTTTGTCCCTATCTCACAGATTTCTCATTGACTGAGCAACTAGGGAGACATAAAAGCAAGGGAAGAAGGCAATGGGGGTTGGGTGTTGCTAGGAAGATGGGTTGGGGAGAGGGAGGTTACACTGTGGTTCTAGCAAAAACTGTTTGTTCAGAACAGTTCCAAGAATTGACACGTGAGAAAACTTGTAAGGAGTCTCCTGTGGTTACATAGTTGGAATTGTGTGTGCAGGGTCTCCAGGATGACAAAAAGGAAGGAAACAGCCCTGGAAGCACACCTGAGAAGCAGCCTGGTTTTTATACCATGAAGCCCTGCTTTTACTCTAGTAGCCTTGCAGGTGGTTCCAACCTTCCCCACCAAGCAGGCTCCCTAGGGAAGTCGCCTCTGCCCAGCAGCTGGTGGGCTACCTAGCCTGATAATATTAAGCAATGAAAACAAAAAGAAAACTTCACAGCCTTCCCCCTGAGAAGTTACCCTAAGGGAATTGCACCTACCCAGCACCAGCTAGACTACCCAGACTGATGACACTGTGTCATAAAACCTTGGGAGAAAATTTGCCTAATTCAAACACAGCAAATCCTTTGTTCAGGATAAGAGGGAAAAAGGGAAGGAGAAACAGCAGGAAGAACAAGACCCCCGGCCTTTGGAGACCCCAGTCTAAATGTAAACCAGGCACTTGCTCTCAGAGTCTGTCTGGAGTGTACTTGTCTGCTCTGAGAATGCCCACCTGGCTCAACACTTCTCTCTGCTCACATCTGAACTCCCTCCCATACTCCTATCTCTGCCACTTAGCTCTCTTTACAGCTGGCTGCTGGTGTGTCATGGCTGTATTTAGGCAAAGTTCTTATGAAACACAGCATTGGGTCCTTTTCAACAACAACAACAACAACAAAGACTGATTTCAGAAGCTGTGAGGAGCTTAAGTATGAGAGAAGCAAAGTGATATCTGCCCCCAGAGGCCTCTTTTGCCATCTCTGAGCTGAGGAAGGTCTGACGTCTCCACTAAAGGAGAATCTACATCCTGCATGTAGGCAGAAAGGATGGGGAAAACTGAATTGCTTTCAGCCCTGAATAATTGTTACGACAAAGGGGACATGTTTTCAGGCAGTGTATTCTACTTTCCCTCCCTGTCTAGGGTGTCTGTTTTGGTCGAGGGAAGGAGGTGGGTAGATAGACAATTTCATATAGCAATGTTCCCAACAGGCTGATTGCTAACAAGGAAGTAGAGAAAACCTGGTAGGAAACTTTTACATAGCGTGTCATTCCATGTTTTTCTTCCTATAACAGAATACCTGAGTATCTTATGAAGCAAAGATGTTCCTCTGCAGACAGTCCTAGAGCTCCTGGGTAGAGGCCTCTGGCTGCAGGGACTGTGTGGAGCCCTAGGGGTGTGGATTGTTATCCTGGAGCAATGATATGGGAGAGGTGGACTCTAATTTTATTGTTTATTCCAGATTGACTTTTACTTAAAAAGCACTTTAAGCACAAGTACATATATGGTATTTAAAGTTTACTCAGAAAGTAAGAAAGCAAATAAACACATGTGCACACAGACACACACATGTACACACACAGGCATAGATTAGGCTGGAGAGAGAAAGAGGTTGGAGAAGAAAGTAGAATGGCAGTACCTTCTCTCATCCTTTTCTCCAACAGGAGAGAGGGAAAGCGCCTCCTCTTGTGAAGCGATGTGATCACCTGGGAAGTTGATGATACCTCCATAAAATATACATATTTATGTGGTGACCATTGTCCAGGTCCCAGATGAAAGCAGAGCACTCTGGGAACAGGGGTGCTCTGACATGCCAGATGGAAATAGGGCGCAGGATGTTTGTGATCGCCAGTTCAGCTCACTACCTTATCCACAGAACCACAGGTGTGCTACCTCAGATCACTCCTCTCACAAAGCCCACTGACATCCTCATGGGAGCCCTACCCTGACAGCCTCATCTGAGTCCCTGCCCAAAACCCTTCCTCTAGATCCCAACAACAGATGAACTGAGGAGTTCCCTGTCCTGCATGTAAGTGTCAGGGGATGCAACCACACCATGGTACTAAGAGGAAATCAGAGCAGTCCTCACCTTCAGGTCTGCCTCTTGGGCCTGTGACGTGATGATAACCGCTCAGAAGCCCAGAAGCCCAGAAGCCTAGCAAGCCCAGCCGACAGCCCTGGTCCCTGGAATTTAGTTGATCCAGTAATTATTCTTCTAGAGGATCCATTTTGAGGTGATCTGATTTATCCCAGGATGATGTTCACCTTGAGCTCTGAGAAGGTTCTGGCAGTACCAGGGAGCAGGGCACCCCTCCACAACCTGGGCAGGCCCCTCAGCTGGTCTGGAGGCTGGAACAAGAGGCAAGAACCCTGAGGCATAGGAGTCAAGTGCCAAACATACTTTAGGACAGAGCCACAGGGAGAACCCCTGTAAAGGCGAAAAAGGGGAAATCGAAAGGGGTGTGTAAGAGGGATGTGCTCCTGACAGGATTTTTGGTTCAGATTGGGCTCCATTTGTGTATACAGAGCGAGATGGTGAGATGTTCTGTCAACAATTCAGTGTCAACACAGAATTACTTTGTTTCATAGGTGCCTTCACTCAGAGCTTGAAGGAGTATGCTGTGCTGCTTGTCTTGTGCTTCCGTGCTCTGAGTGGGACATTCTCCTTGCAGCATCGTGTCTTCACTCAGGAGTAGAATTTTGGAGCATTTGGGTTTAGCAATGTTTAGCCTTTGTGTCTTTAACCTACTTTGTGTCAACAGTTTTGCATCAAAGTTGGTCAAATATTTATCCCAACAGGTTAGTACTCAGAGCCAGTGGTGACCGCAGGCCAGGGAGTTGCAGGAACTGGCTGAGAGTCCCAGGCAGCCTCCTGCCCTGAGCTGTGGCCCCACCTGGCCCTTGCTCCCTGTGACCTGCCTGCCCGGCCTTGTCTCTCCTCCTCCCTCAGGGCATCATCGCTGAAGAAAACAAGAACGTGCAGCCCCAGGGAGATGAGGACCCTGGGAAGTTCAAGGAGGCGGAGCTGAAAATGCGGAAGCAGTTTGGGATGCCAGAGGGGGAAAAGCTGGTCAACTATTACTCTTGCAGCTACTGGAAGGGCCGTGTGCCCAGACAGGGCTGGCTATACCTGACTGTCAACCACATGTGCTTCTACTCCTTCCTGCTGGGCAAAGAAGGTGAGCTCTGGCCCGGCCACCTGACCTCATCAGCCCTGGCTTTTCCCTGACCAGGTTCCAGCTGGGTCTTCTTCCTCTTGGCCCCCAAGTTTGTGTGCTCACACAGCCACCAAGAGCATCTCCCCCAAAACCCAGATGCCACCTTAGCAACCCACAACAGGAACTCATTTCACTCTTTGCTGCTTGTGAGGCAAATGTTTGCTGACCAACCCTAGTGGATCTGAGGCAGTAGGACCCCAATGGTCTGGTCTACCTTCAGGGAGTAGGCTCTGGGTGTGGGTGGGAGTCAAAAGCCCTGCCTCTCCCAGCTGTAACCAGTGGTCTGTTTGTCCCAATGGGCATCCAGTGAGCCTGGTGGTGCAGTGGGTGGATGTCACGCGGCTCGAGAAGAATGCCACCCTCCTCTTCCCCGAGAGCATCCGTGTGGATACCAGGGACCAGGAACTCTTCTTCTCCATGTTCCTCAACATCGGTGAGACCTTCAAGCTCATGGAGCAGCTGGCCAACTTGGCCATGCGACAGCTGCTGGACAACGAGGACTTCCTGGAAGACAAGGCCCTGCCCAGGCCTGTCCAGCCACACAGGAACATCTCTGCTTTGAAGCGGTGCGTTGCCTTCTGGGGCTCAGGAGGACCCTACTGTGGGAGAGGATGGGCCCACTTGGGCCAGATCCACTGAGGATTTCCAGTCAGCCATCCTGGGCCCCCCAGCTGATAGGAGCCAGGTCAGTACTTCATTGCATTGCCGCACAAGGAGCGGGATACCAGAAGGTATAGCAGTGTCCTAGAAGCACCACTGGCATAGGCAAGGTTCTACATACTTTGTTCCTCTCAGCCCTACGACGGGAAGGTCCCCTTACTGTCCCCTGGTCTTAGATGAGGACACCAAGGCCAGACAGGCCACTACTTGACTTATTCCTAAGATGTGGAGTCAAGATGGGTACCCCTTGTTGAGGGCCCCAAGAGGTTGGGCCGGACACCCCCTTGAGGCTGCATCTGGAGGACTTGGATGGATCCAGGCTCAGGGAATACAGCCTCTGCCCCCCATGAAGAGAGCACACCTCGAGCTCTATACCACAGGGACCCTCAGAGCCATGAGGTCCAGGCCTTTGGAGTCTGAAGCCTGCAGGGCAGACAGGGTCATCGCTACTCTGTCTGTGGAGATAGGTGCTTGTGGCCAACCCCTGCAGACCGCTTGTGTTTAATGAGCTCCTAGGTTGTAGACTCACAGGAAACCTGCACAAAGCTGGTTGTATCTCAGCATTTCCCTGGGCCAGAGTCCCAGCTACGGTGGGCCAGCCAGACTGACACTGGCGTGTTCAAAGGCCTCATTTGCCAGGGGCCATTTCCCTGGGGTGCACTAGCAGACTGGTGAAGACCTAGACTCTGGTGGTGCCTTTAAGACCAGCCTGTTGTGCAAGGGTGTCACTCTACAGATGGAAGTGGTGGGGGAGCCTTCCCAAAGCAGATGAATAGGGCTAGACTGGTAGGGTCATGTTACCTGCAGCCCAGCACAGGGGTTAGGACCAGGGTGCCCATCACTACCTCTTGGCACTTGGACATGTGGGTAAGCATCTGTTAAGCAGTGCTCCTGTGCATTTCAAGATTACCTGCCTGTCTTACTGCTGGACCAGTCCAAAGCCAGGAGCTTCTTCTGGGTCTCCTACATGGGTGGTACAGGCCCAAGATCTTGAGCCATTCACTGCTTTCCCAGATGCATTAGCAGGGAACTGTTTTGGAAGTGGAACAGTTGGGACTTGAACCAGCACCCATATGGGATACCAGCACAGCAGGCAGTGGCATAAGTCACTATAGCACAACTCTAGCCTTTGTTTAATTTGCATCCTTGATTGAACTGTAAGCTCCTTGGGCACCACCAGCTCCTGGAGAACCCCAAGGATTCTGGGAGTGATGTGGGGACTGAGGCCTCAAGTCCTCCTGCACGTATGACCCCTGCCTGCTTTGCACCCACCTTGTTTCCTCAGAGACCTGGATGCCCGAGCTAAGAACGAGTGCTATCGGGCCACCTTCCGGCTGCCCAGGGATGAGCGGCTGGACGGCCACACGGGCTGCACACTGTGGACACCATTCAGCAAGTTGCACATTCCTGGCCAGATGTTCATCTCCAACAACTACATATGTTTTGCCAGCAAAGAAGAGGATGCATGCCACCTTATCATTCCCTTGAGGGAGGTGAGCATCCTCAGGAAATGTACGCCAGGCCTGGGACAGGACAGGTGGGGCATCTGCAACTGCAGCACCTGGGCTCAGCTTGATGCCAGGCATGGAGCTGGGAGCAGGCATGCTGTATGCCCCAGGGGGACAGGAGGGCAATCCCTGCGAATCCTCTCACTGGGACAAAGGGGTGTTTCTATCTACCCTGCCCTCTCAGAATCCTGTGGTTCAATTTTGGCAAAGCTCTGTCCTCCTGGCTAGATTGAGGGGCTCTTGTCCCTGCACAGCCCCGTGAGGTCACTCTCAGAAGCCACCTTTCCAGTTCTTTCCAAACATAGACACCTTGGCTGGAGCACTGGCGGAACGATCACACATGAGCTGTCACCTGTCGTGGTGGGGCAGCTCTGGCCTCTAACCATGCCTTCTCTTGTTTGTGGACTTCCACAGTGCCCCGGTGGAAACCAGACCAAGTGTTGCCATGAAGGAGTAAAGACAGCAGAAGGGATCTCTGACACAGACAAAAGCCTCCGGGTTCTGTGGGTTCTGGGGATCTTCCCAGTCCTGGCCTGGCAGAGCAGTGACTATTCATAAAAAGCATAGTGAGGTTCTTAGGCCATAGCTCAAGTCTCATCACAGCATTTTGTTTGTATTAAAACCTAGAGCAGTGAGGCCCACTGGTGTGTGTACAAAGCCCATGGGCTATAGGTGTAGCTGTGAATGGGTGTGGGAATAACGTGCTGCCTCAGTTTCCTCAAGTCAGAGGCCAAGAGCTCAAAATCTCCCTAAACTGCAGGTTGAAGTTTAGATGTTATTCATGGAAGAAAGGGCCTGTGGATTCATGCTAGCCCCCAGGCCCAGAGTGTTACGGAGGGGTTTCTAGATTCCTGAGGCCAGATGGCAGAGAGCTGGGCAGCACAGCAGTCTTGCCTCGGAGAGTGGGCCTGTGCCCTGCATACCTGTTTCCTCACTTCCCAGCTGGGGGCTCTGCAGGTATCCGATCACTCAGCTCCATGGCAAATGCAGTGGCTCTGGAATCTCCCTGCTCATGGTGCTTCTCCCATCACGCTCCTGTCTTCCCTTTCACCCACTGCCCTATTCTTTGTTCCCACCCCTCCCTGTCCCAGGTCATAGCCACAGCACTCAAAGCACCCCCATCCCTGCTGAGGGTTCACTGGCATCCAGTGCCTGTGACCCATGAGACCCCATGCACCCCCACATCTGGACATGCAGAACACACTTACAGACCTGTGTGCTCACATGCAGGTCCACACTACACACACACACACATGCACATATAGAGAAACATATACCTACACATTACACATTCACACATGTATGCCCATACACCTGTGGATATACATTGAGCACATACACATGCATACATACACTCACACACATGCAGGTACACAACATGTACCTATACGCATGATATACACCATACATACACACATACATGCACACACAGGTGAACATAAAATAACACTTAACACATGCACGCACAAGCACTGTCCCCTCTTTGTGCAGCCTCACCAGCCTTTTCTCACTCCTCTCCCCTGCCAGTCTCACTACTCTCTGAGGACTGTGTCTACTGCCCATCCCATCTGCGTCCTGCCCCAGCTCCTGCCCCAGCTCCTACCTGGCTGAAGCAGGTGCCAGCTTATGCCCTATTAGCTCTGCTTACCCAGCTTGCCCACTATCTGCCCTGTCCTTGGGCTGTGGGCTTTGCTTAGATGTCTGCTGGAAGCCCTCTGCCCTTTGCTTGCAAGCTACTCCAGGACCCCTGTCAGAAGTGTTTCTGGGATCAAGGCTGCAGCCTCGCAGGTGAGGGCTGTTGGCCATGCTTTGGAGCAGGAAGTAGTGGGCAGTCTGAGAGCCGGTGGTGACCAGAGCTGGGCAGGTGGGAGGGTAGGACTTGGACATGCAAACACTGAGCCCAAGGCTGCACATGGTGGCAGGCTCAGCATATGGGTCCAGTCAAGCTTGTCACTATGACATGCCTGAGGATAGTTATGGACCCACAAGGCATATCCAGCCACACAGCAAACACCCAAGAGACTGCTTCTGCCTTCTCAGGTGACCATTGTTGAAAAAGCTGACAGTTCCAGTGTCTTACCCAGGCCCCTGTCCATCAGCACCAAGAGTAAAATGACCTTCCTGTTTGCCAACCTGAAAGATCGCGATTTCTTAGTGCAGAGAATCTCGGACTTCCTCCAGAAAACACCATCCAAGCAGCCAAGTGGCAGCACTGGGGAAAGGAAGACCAGCGTTGTAGACCCAGCTGCTGAGGTGAGAGGGGCCCCTTGGGAGTGCTGGAGCAGGGATGAGGCCAGGGCAACCCTCAGCCTCTGTGCTGGAACCTAGCTTGTGATGTGCTTACTGTGGGCCTTGGGCTGCGAGGACAGAGCTGGAAGTACCCCAGGTGCACCCCACACACCCAGTAACTGCCAGTGTCCCTGTCTGCACCCCCCTACACACCCCAGTCCTCCCGACTGTCACCCAGCCTGCCTCAATGCCCAGTCCTTTGAGGATGCTCTGGCTGTCAGCCTCCCCCATCTACACCCTCCCTGAAGTTCTGCTCCACTGAGAGCTGGGGCCACCAGTGGAGGTCGGGCCTCCTTGGGTTCTGCATTCATCAGCTTTTTGTTGCTACATCGAATTCCTGGTAAAACTAACTTCCTATTAAAAAAGGGTTTGTTTAGCTCACAGTTTTGGAACTTCGTGCTCCAAGAGCCAGTGACCCCATTGGTTCAGGGTAGCAGAGTACAGAGCCAGAAAGCAGAGAGCCTGGGCTAGACTTTGCTGTTACAACCAGCCTCTCCCGAGGGCTGTCACCAACCACATGCCCCCAGTGACCAAAGGGCCTCCTGCTAGGCCTCTCCTCTAGTCACCACAAGCAGATGGCTTCCACTACTTGGTACTATTAGCATATAACTGGGAGTTAATGTCCTTTCGTGAGTTCAAGACCCAAATCCTCATCAAACCATGGTAGGTTTGTTCAATGGCATTTTCCCTGCCAGTCCTTCAGTCTGAGGTTCTTATGGGGAAAGGTTCCTTGTTAAAGACCCAGCTATAGTACCATTAGTGACATCAAAGGTATCCTGTGAGTCATTGCACACTTCTTTTCCCCAGAGGCAGCTGTGCTCTTTGCAGTTGGATTGCTGGAACTGGGGCTCACACAGCAGCTGTGTGGTGTTACAAGTGAAGGGCAGGCCTCTTTGGTCCCTTTCCATCCAGAGGGTTTCTGCTGCTCCTCTCTTTTTCCACTCTATCCTTCCCAGGAAGGAATCGGGGCCATTTGTGCTTCAACATCTCCCATGATTTACTTCTTACCTCTTGCATCCCCTCTGTCCCCTCCCTCCTGTGGGTCAGTTGAGTAGTGACACAGAACCTCAATCACACCTTGGCGCTGTTGGTTTCTGTGAGAGCGCCACCTGCAGGCAGCAGTGAGTAGAGGCTGCCTCAGCTGAGGTTTCTAGCACCTGCTTGCCTCTGTAGCCAGTGAGAAGCACTGCCTAGCTGGGGCCAATTCTTGGGTTTTGGAAAACAGTGACACTATTACCTGTGATTACTTCTGTCTGGCAGCTAAAACACTCCCTTGAAGAAACACCCCTGGTTAACTCCTGAGGTCCCCAAGGCACAGCTTCTAGGAAAGGTAGATAAATCTTTTACTATTGCCTTTTATTCACTAGTTGCCAACATGATGAAAGAGTTGGTTTTATTGTCTCCTCCAGGTGTAGCCAACTAGTTTATTTACTTTAAAATTGTTATTTATTGCTTTACTTGTTATTTGAAAGATGGAGTGTCAGAGAGATGGCACGAAAGAGAGAAAACTGTTCTCTTAAATGCTTGCAATAGCTGGGGCTGGACCCTGGTCTCCCACATAAATGGCAGGGACCCAAGTCTTTGGGCCATCCTCTGCTGCTTTCCCGGGCACGTTAGCAGGGACCCAGATCAAAGCAGAGTAACCAGAACTCAAACCAGTTCTCCGATATAAATGCCAGTGTAGGCAGCAGCTTAGCCTATACAATGTGGGCCCCAGCACTTACTTATTAATATCCTAATGAACCATGCACATATGCCATGGATTAGCAACTTAGTCTGACATCAGAGGGGCCTGATTCAGGTTGACTCCTTGTCCTTTAGACCGAACCTTGTTCATCTTTGTTGGCATCCTTGCTTCCAAGTACCAAGATAAGTGTATTGCTGTTGTTGTTGCTTAACCTGAATTTACAGAAACACTTTATAATTAGCAAAGTCCATGTGCAAATCCAGTACTGGGTCTTGCTTCTCCACAAGAATCGGTAGCTCTGACACCACAGTGCCCTTTACCCTAGGCAGTGTGGAATCTGAATGCTGAAGCTCGTACTCAGCTCCTCAGAGCCCTGGTCCAGGAGCTTCTTCCTGGCCTCTCAGAGACTTGAGCCATCCTCCTCTGCTTTCACAGACACACCAACAGAACTGGATTGGAAGTGGAGTAACCAGGACATGAACTGGTGCCCAGATGAGATGCTGGCAGCATAGGCAGAGGCCTTGCCTGCTATGTCATGGCACCAGCCCCAAACCTTAAATATTTTTTAAGAATTACTTTGTACAGCCAGTCAAAAAAAAAAAAAAGACCAAGTCACATATGAGGACAGGAAAATCAGAGAGTCATCAGGCTTTTTGACAGTAGCATTTTATAGAAACAGAGTGACATTATAAAGACATGCAGGAAGACTTCCACCCACTTCCTCATGTCCACCCAGTGCCTTCCTAGAACTACCCAAGGATCCCTCACCCTCTGCATGCAATAGGAAGGCAAATTTCCAAGCTCCAGTACTGGAAGTAGCCCACAGCCCGACAGGGTGATGCAGGTATCCGTAGGTTCCAGTACTGGGAAGCAGCCCGCAGCCCGATAGGATGATGCAGATCTCTGTTGATGGTTAGACCCAGGGAGTATCAAGCGTATTCCGACCCAGCCTGTGCTAGGTCTGTGTCTTTATCCTTATTAAGCAGTGCACACAGCACACAGTGAGGTGGACCTAGGCTTATGTTGGTGCAAATACCTAGTGTGGGGGCCCTGCACAATGGTGTAGTGGTTAAGGTCCTCACCTTGCATGTGCTGGGATCCCATATGGGCGCTGGTTCTAATCCTGGCGGCCCTGCTTCCCATCCAGCTCCCTGCCTGTGGCCTGGGAAGGCAGTCAAGGACGGCCCAAAGCTTTGGGACTCTGCGCCAGCATGGGAGACCTGAAGAGGCTCCTGGCTTCGGATTTGCTAAGTTCCAGTCGTTGTGGACACTTGGGGAGTGAATCATCAGGCAGATCTTCCTCTGTATCTCTCCTCTCTGTATATCCACCTTTCCAATAAAAAGAAAAATAAATCTTAAAAAAAAAATACATAGTGTGGAATGTGCTGTGCCTACCATAGGCCACACCAGGGTCACAGGCCCAGGGGCCGTGAGGGGAAGATGGAAACCTCAGGATATCTTCACAGACAACAGTCAGCCTAGGGCAGTATGGGAGCCTCTTCATCTGGAGCCATTATGAGCACAGGATTGATCGTGGGGCATAGGGGCCAGGAGAGGACTCCTTTCCTCACTTGATGGACAGGCAGACCTTGACAGGTGCAGTCTGGCTCAGGACTCAGCATCCCCCGGCCTCTGCCCTGCCATCCCCTGCTGCCTCCATTTCTTGGCTCTGTGGCGACACTGGTGCCACCACCTGCTTGTAGCATTTGTCCAGACACTACCAGCAGCCATGGCTCAGTGCCCACGACATAGCCTTCACTGTGGCCAAGGGATCAGATACCGGATGAGGCAATGCTGACTGTCAGCCACTCCTTGTGCCACCTAGGTCCACACTGTTCCAGCAGAGAGTCCAAGGATGGCTGAGGGAGGTGGTGGGCTCAGGGCAGATACCAACAGCAGCTGTCCCCTGTTGGAGCTAAGCAGGGTTTGTGTGTCGTAGAGGCCAGGGCAGGGAAAGTGAACACAACACAGCACAAGGAATCCCAGCTGCCTGGCCTGACAGTCATGCCCTGGAAGGGAGTGTTGAAAAGCTACAGGCAGACTGAATTCAGAAGAATTCACCTGGGCAAAGAACAGGTCATGACTAGGGCAGCATGCAAAACCGGCAGAGGAAATGGGCAAGCAAAGTGGAGTAGTCACCTGATGGACAATGATCAGCCATCTGTCTTGTGTGGGTGTGGCCTGATCAGTCAGCTGCCTGTGGCTGGCTGAAACCTACCTGATTATTATGCACTATCCAAGTCAGGTTTTGTTTCATTTGTGTAGCAACAGCCCAGGGACCTTGGAGCCGCCCACTGGTGATGTCCTATCCCATGTCTGCATTTTGCTGGGAAGGACTCCCCTCAGCAGGATCCCCAGAACTCATTTCCTCCACAAGGGACCACCTTATCATAGTGGGTCTCTTTCTTCTCTGTCTCTCTCTCCCTGTCTCTCTCTCCTCTTTCTCTCTCCTTAATTTGAAACGTAGAATCACAGAGAAGAGAGACAAAGAGCTCTTCCATCCTCTGGCTTACTCCCTAAATTGCTACAATGGCCAGATCTAGTCTGGTCTGAAGGCAGAAGCCAGGAACTTCTTTCAAGTCTCTCATATGGGTACAGGGGCTCAAACTCTTGAGCCATCCTCCACTGCTCTCCCAGGCCACAAGCAGAAAGCTGGATAGGAAACGGAGCAGCCAGGACATGAACCGGCACCTATACAGGACATTCGCACCACAGAGGATTAGCCTGTTGAGCCATCATGCTGGCCCCAATGGGTGTCCTTCCTACATCAGGGACAGCTGGCCAAAGGGAGAGTGAAGGAGGTAGCCACAGCTTCCCACTGCTCCAGTATGGCCCTGGGCCCCACAGCCGCTCTGTTCCAGTTCTGGGTCAAGGTAAAGTCGCAGCCCCTTGAGCAACTCGAGTGCTAGGTGCTCTCCCTTCCCTGCTTTTATTCCCTAGTTTCTCCCAGCTCCTCAGGAGACACACCAACAGCCCACCAGCCCGTCGTCTCCGCTCAGTGGCCACCAGGGCTTCAGTGCACAGAACGTGCCCACCGCCTCCCAGGGCCTGCTCAAGCTCTTCCGAAGAAACTTGCCCACAGAGGACCTAGGAGTCAAGGAGGTGAGCTGCAGGCACTGGCCTTCAGCCCTGGTCCACAGCCAAGCCTTTCAAGAGAAAGCAGGGGTCTGCCTCTGGCTTGGTGCCTTCCTGGCTGGCTCAGGCCCTTAGGGCTGACAAGCTGAGGCTGTCCTCTGGGGGTGTATGGGTGCCGTTCACAGGAGGTGTGATAGCCCAGCTCCACCCATGCTTTACCTGGAGTCCCTGGGGAGTCTGCAGCCTGCTGGCTAACCATTGCTATGTGGAGAACATAGCAGACTTCCACGGACCTCAGGAGCAGAGGTGGAGGGTGGGTCACCCAGGTCTCAGCACTCTGAGACCCACTTAGGGTCCTCGATGCGCTGGTTCACTTTTCCCTCAGGCCAAAGAGAAGATGAAAGAGGAGTCATGGGACATCCACTTCTTCGAGTATGGGCGTGGCATGTGCATGTACCGCACAGCCAAGACCCGGGAGCTGGTCCTGAAGGGCATCCCTGAGAGCCTGCGCGGGGAGCTGTGGCTTCTCTTCTCAGGTGAGCCTGGCCCTGCTGCCCACTGCCCTGGCTCAGGGCTCTCCTTACCTGAGCTTCTCTGGCCCAGGGCTGTCCTTTCTGAGGTGAAACGGGAACTGCCATCCTGTCACATCACAGGCCTTGGCTCTGTAAGGGGACCTGAGGCACACGAAGCATCGTGGGCAGCAAACCCCAGGGTCATGGCTCCATGTCAGGCCTCTGATGCCTTGTTCCTCACAGGGGGGAGCTCGAAACAGGCTCTACCATGACGACTGCCTGAACCCTGCAATGGTCGCCTCCCACCTCAAATCCTGCCTGTCCTCTGTAGGGCATTGTTGCCTCCAGTTTCCCTGTTACTGCTGCCAGAGCGCCAATAGGGGTAGGAAAGACAGCTGCCACCTGTGTCTCCCCAGGGGCCTGGAATGAGATGGTGACTCACCCTGGCTACTATGCTGAGCTGGTGGAGAAGTCCATGGGCAAGTACAGCCTGGCCACGGAGGAGATTGAGCGAGACCTCCACCGTTCCATGCCTGAGCACCCCGCCTTCCAGAACGAACTTGGGATCGCTGCGCTCCGGCGGGTTCTGACTGCCTACGCTTTCCGAAACCCCACTATTGGTTACTGCCAGGTAAAGAGGAATCCAGAGAAAGCATCTCACTTGCACCCCCTCCAGAGGCTTGTGGGACCTGTGTCGGGGCCTTACAAACCTGTGACTGTGCCCTGTACCCCAGAAAGGAGTCACAGAACAGATGTAATTTACAAACAGCTGCAATTACTCATCTCATCCTCATGTCAAGTGTTGTCTTCCAGTGTGTTTCTGTTCCTTCGTCCTGCATTTGATTGATTGTGTGTGTGTGTATACATACAATTTACCATTTTAGCCATTTTTTAAAAGATTCTTTTACTTCAAAGACAAAGAGAAGGACAGAGAGGCAGAGATCTTTTATCCTCTGGCTCACTTGCCACAGCAGCCAGAGCTGAAGCCAAGCCAAAGCCAGGAGCCAGGAACTCCATTTGAGTCTCTCACATGGGTGGCAGGGCCCAGGTACTTGGACCATACTCTGCTGCCTTCCCAGATGCCTTAGCAGGAAGCTGGATCAGAAGCAGAACAACCAGGACTGGAACCAGCATTCTAGTTTGGGATGACCCTCTGTACCTCAACGTAGGGCCCGTTTGCACCATGTTTAAGCATTTGGTTTGCTGATGTTAAGTACATTCACACTCTGTGCAGCCATTGTCCCATCCATCCACAGGACTCCCCACCCTGTCAGATTGGAGCTCGTACCCACTGACCAGTAACTCCATCCCCAGCCCTCACAGCCTTTACAGCCCTTGGCTGCTGCTGCCTTTGTTTTGTCTCTGTTTCACTGTCCTGGGGACCTCCAACCTCATGTAGTTTGTCCTTTTGTAAGTGACTTATCTCACTGAGCCAGTGCCCTCAGGTTTCTTATATGCTGTCCCACATGTCAGAATCTTTTTTTTTTATCTTTTTTTACAACGTATTTATTTGTTTGAAAGGCAGTTACAGAGAAAGAGAGTACTTCCATCTGCTGATTTATTCCTTAAATGACTCCTGGGTGTTCAGGGTGAAGAAAAGAGCCAGGAACTCCACCAGTCTCCTGCATGGGTGGCAGGGGCCATTTTCTGTTGCTTGGCCAGCACATTATCAAGGAACTGGATCAGCAGTAGAGCAACCAGGACCTAAACTGGTGAACACATAGGATGTCGTCATGGCAGGTAGCAGCTTAGCTCACTGTGCTACTACACATGTCCCAATCAGTGTCTGTCTATCTTTCTCTCTCTCCTTCCTTCCTTCCTCTTTCTCTTTCTTTATTAAGGTTTGTTTATTTGAAATGCAAAGTTACAGAAAGAGAGGGAATAATAGACAAGAGAAAGAGGAAGAGACCTTCCATCTGCTGGTTCACTACTCAAATGGCCACAACAGCCAGGGTGGAGCCAGGCTGAAGCCAGGAGCCTGAAGCTGCTTCGGCGTTTCCCATGTGGATAACAAGGGCCCAAGTACTTGGTCAATCTGCTGCTGCTTTCCCAGGCCATTATCAAGGTGCTGGATCAGAATTAGAGCAGCTGGGTCATGAACTGGTGCCCTCATGGGATACTGGTGTCCCAGGTGGCATGGTGGTTTATCCACTTCACTTTAATGCCAGCTCCAGTCTATTTCCTTTTCAAGGCTGGGTCATATTCTGATGTAAGCTCCATGTTTCCTTCATCCCTGTGTCCTCTGGTGGACACTGGGATTGCTCTGCCTGCTGCCTTGACAGCAGCTGGTGTCCCCAGAGGTGGGACTGCTCGGTCGCATGATGGTCCTGCCCATGGTGGAAGCCTCCACTGCTCACAGCAGCTGTGCCATCTACCCTCCCAGCAGTCATTCACCAGGGCTCTGGCCTCTCCAGCTCCCTGCCGAGGCTTCTGTCTGGTTGGTTGTTGTAGTGGGTATCATTTGAGATATTTGATTAGCATTTCTGAGAACTTTGTTTTGAAATCTAATGGACATTTTCCTGACCAGGTTATATGATTTCTATTTGCCTAAAATTGCCCTGGGATTTCAGGGAAGCCCACTCCCCACAGCTCCTGTTCTGTGTGCCACATCACCAACTAGAGACCACTGCAGAGAGGTGATCTTTGAGAGCCAGCCCTGCAGCAAAATGTGGATTTGAGTCTCACCTGCTGCACTGGGGAAGGCCCAGAAGATGGCCTGGACACTGCTCCCTCACACACACACACACACACACACCCCTATGTGGAAGACGGCCCATGTGGCCAGGCAGACAGACACACACAAACATGCACACACCCCATGTGGAAGACGGCCCATGTGGCCAGACACACACACACACACACACACACACACACACACCTACGTGGAGGACGGCCCGGGTGGCCAGGCAGACAGACACACACAAACATGCACACACCCCATGTGGAAGACGGCCCATGTGGCCAGACACACACACACACACACACACACACACACACACACACACACACACACACACACACACACACACACACCCCATGTGGAAGACAGCCCATGTGGCCAGACACACACACACACACACACACACACACACACACCCCATGTGGAAGACAGCCCATGTGGCCAGACACACACACACACACACACACACACACACCCCATGTGGAAGACAGCCCATGTGGCCAGACACACACACACACACACACACACCCCATGTGGAAGACAGCCCATGTGGCCAGACACACACACACACACACACACACACACACACACACACACACACACACACACCCCATGTGGAAGACAGCCCATGTGGCCAGACACACACACACACACACACACACACCCATGTGGAAGACGGCCCATGTGGCCAGACACACACACACACACACACACACCCCCATGTGGAAGACAGCCCATGTGGCCAGGCTTTTAGTCCCTGACTTTGGCATGGCTCAGCCTCCACCATTGAATAAATGATTTAGTAGAGAAAAGATTCCTCTCTCTCTCTCTCTCTTTTTATCTTTCTCTCTGCCTTTCAAATTAAAAACAAAAAAAAAGCAGACCAAAAAATGCCAGTTTGCCTACTTTGTTGCTTCTTCGTAAGTCTGTTAGCAGCTGCTGCTGTGCTGTTTGAGTGCTGCTGCAGCAAATGGCCAGCACCCAGCCATGCAGCTGCTTCCCACCCCAGCTGGGCCCTGCAGCCACTCCTGCCCACAAGTGTTCTGTGCTGACATCCAAGGCCAAGCTGAAGCTCTGTCAAGTTCATTTCCTGAAAATTGCCTTCTGGCCAGTTTCCCAGATTGGGGCGAGGATGGTTTCTCCTCGAGGGGCTGGCCTGTTGTCAGGGAGAGGACATCGTGCCTGTTGGCCTACTCACCATCCCTGTGCCCAGCAGGCGATGAACATCGTGACCTCAGTGCTCCTGCTCTACGGCAGCGAGGAGGAGGCCTTCTGGCTCCTGGTGGCCCTGTGCGAGCGCATGCTGCCTGACTACTACAACACCAGGGTGGTGGGTGAGTGGTTCAAGGGGCTCCTTTACTGAAGGGGACAGCCTTGCCCCAGGCTGGGAGCCTCCCAAGCCTCCTGTAGTCTGTGTCCAGCCTGTGCTGCAAATGAGCTAGCAAGCACCACTAGGAAGGGAGAGAGCACCCAGACCTCTGCCTGCAGGGTCCACACTCTTGCCAGCCCATGTATGGCTTCCCACATCACTGCCAGCCAGAAGCTGTGCAGCTGTGCCACCCTCAGGAACTGGTGAAAGTCCACCGCAAGTCTGAATGCCCATCCATCGAACTTCATGTAAACCTCTCTATTACGAGAGATTCCAAACATGAAAACCAGAGAGTGTGGCACACCCCCACACATTTGTCACTCAGTTGCAGCTACTACAAACACACATCCAGCATGTCTCTGAACTGTGCAAACCCAGCCTTTGAAGTGCATGTAACTGTGTGCCATGCTCAGCTGCCTCCACTGCCCTTCCACTGCCGCAAGCATTCTGGAGTTGCCACTCTGAGTCCTCTGGGACTGGGCTATTCACAGGCAGTCTGATTCTGATGCTTTCATGGGGAAATCAGTGCCCTCCCCAAGGGGACGTACAGAGAGAGGAATGCACTGAAAGCTGTAGGAAAAATAAAGACCTATTGCTTCTTGTTTTCTCCATTGACCTGACAGCCCTCACCATAGTGGGACTGGTGGGTGGTGATGAATGGGGCCTCAGACCCCAGCATTCATTCCCCATGAGGGCCCACCAGAAGCCATGGGACTGACTCAGTCCGTTCAGCTCGTACCATCCTCCCCACAGGAGCCCTGATTGACCAAGGCATTTTTGAAGAACTCACAAGAGACTTCCTGCCCCAGCTGTCAGAGAAGATGCAGGAGCTGGGCGTGATCTCCAGCATCTCGCTCTCATGGTTCCTGACCCTCTTCCTCAGCGTCATGCCGTTCGAGAGCGCCGTGGTCATTGTTGACTGCTTCTTCTACGAGGGCATCAAGGTGATCCTGCAGGTGGCCCTGGCCATCCTGGATGCCAACATGGAGCAGCTGCTCGGCTGCAATGACGAGGGCGAGGCCATGACCATCTTGGGCAGGTGAACGTGCTCAGCTTCTCTACCCTGCTCTGTGCCAGCCCTGGTTGTTACTCAGTTAACATCAAGTGACCATACCTAACAAGTTCCCAGTTATGGCTGGGCCCAGGGATATGCAGGGGCAAAGAGCTTCCTTCCTGTTTACTGTTACATTAATTCCAGGGTTAGACAGATCTCCTGTATCTTGGTTCATTTCCCAGTGTTCTGAGTGACTGAGACCAGACCAGGTAAAGCCAGGAAGCAGTAACTCAACCTAGATCTCCCATCCGGGTTGCAGAAAAATAGCTGCTTGTGCCATCACCATTGTATCCCAATAATCACATTAGCAGGAAGCAAGAATATGCAGCTGGAGCCAGGTGCCAAGCCTAACACTGTAACACTGTGATGTGAGACATGGATCTGTTTAACCCGTGTCTTCACAGGCCAAATGCTGGGAGGAAGTAGCACAGTGGGTGGTCTGACTAGGGAGCTACTGCTCAGACGCGTTCAGGGAAAGATTCTGAGGGTACACCACACCAAAACCATGCAGTGACAACGGCAGCTCTGTCCCTCTGAGCAGTCTTGTTATACCTCCGCAGCTCACTGCTGTCCATTCCCCAACCAGACCTGCTCTGGGAGTCTGATGCCTGGCCTGTCACACCTGAGGCCCCGAGCCAGCCTGGATGCCTCCTCCTCTGTGCAAGTCCCTGTAGAATTCATTCTGGGATGCACAGGTCAAGATGCCCCTACTATGTACCTGTACCTGTACCTGCCTCGTCATGGATTCTTCTGCTCCTGTCTCCTTGCAACATCCTGCAGGACCCTGACCAGGCCTGAGCTTGTGCATCCATGCCAATTGTTTATCTTTCATTCAGAGGAGCAGTGGACATCTGCCTACCTGGCCATCAAGTCTGTCAGCCATGCTCAGCCCCCTTCTGGCTCTTTCTGGCCTGCCTTGAGCTCTGCCCAATCCTGACAGCCTTCCCACATGATGTCCCTGTCCTGGGATGCTCCCACACAGCAGGGACAGCCACGGTGGCTCCAGAGAGCTGGGCTGGGTAGCTGTGTGTCCACCCAGAGGTCCGGACAGCTTGCCTGCCATGCATTTCCTACCCAAGACAGTGTGGCCTTGCTCAGGAGCCACAGCAGGGGACAGGGCGTCCTGGCCAGGCTAGGTCCCAACGTGTGGCCTTAAACAAGCCAGGTTACCTGGGCCGCTGCACACATGGCCACAGCAGACCCCTCCTGGCTCTCCTGAGACTCCATCCTTTGGTCTCATTCTTCGTGGCTAGGCAAGCATACCATCCCTCCAATTGGATACATAAAAGGGCTCCTTGCCCATGGAGTCCGAAAAGATAGCCCGGTACCTTCCATGTGCAGAGCCTAATGCGAGGGAGGGGCTGAGGCCTGAGGGGAGCTCCCTGACTTTCCAGGATGTCTGCTGGGGCACACTCTATCCTCCTGGAGGGTCTGCCATAACTGAGTGGTCTCGATGTCTGACCCCTTCCCCCCACAGATGTCTGGACAATGTGGTCAATAAGCAGAGTACTTCCCCACCAGTGCCACATCTCCATGCCTTGCTGACCAGTGGAGACGAGCCTCCCACACAGACAGACATCTTTGACCTCCTCAAAGCATCCTATGAGGTCAGCACTCAGTGGGGAGGTGCGGGGGGTGACAGCCCTGCACCCCGTGGCTGTGCATTGTCTCACCTAATCATCCCCACCTGCCTGCAGAAATTCAGCAGCCTGCGGGCCAGCGACATTGAACAGATGCGGTTTAAACAGAGGCTGAAAGTGATCCAGTCCTTGGAGGACACAGCCAAGAGGAGTGTGGTATGTGGGTATGGGGGGCTCCCACTCAGGCCTGTCTGTGGGGCAGGATGCACACTCCCCTGCTGCCTCACCACCAGTGTCAACATTAGGATATGTGGAACCAGGCAGGGGCATGGCGGGGAGAGGACATGTCGTTTTATTCTGCTCCCAGATGGGCCAGTGGGAAGCCTGTCTGAGGCCCTGTTCCCCCAAAGCATAGCACCCTCTGTCTCCCACATGTCCCCTCCCCTCGCGCCGAGCATCCCACAGCTGCCCTCTGAGCACCTGCGTGCCGTGCCTCTGCCTCCAGCCTTCATCCTCCGCATCCCTGGATGGGTGCAGGTGCCCCTGCCACAGGATCTACTCATGGTCTCTTGACTGCCCACCTCGTTCCCACTTCCCCAGTGCCCCCCACAAACCTTTCAGACACTCTGAGGTCACAAGTGACAGAAACGGATGGCTCCAGCTGACTGAGAGCAGCTGGCTGGTGGTTTCAGGACCCCTTCCCAAGAGCTGGCACCTGGGTCACAGCAGAGGTCCAGACAGGAGGAACTAAACAATGTCCCATGTCCCCCACTCTCAGCCCACTAGGGCACAGACCTCAGGGAGCTTGCACTGAGTGGCAGGCTGGGTGGTGAGAGGCCAGCAGGGCAAGGCCCTGCCCTCAGTGGGATGGCCGACTTGCCACACTGAGGGGCAGCTCGTGCCTTTGCCCTGGTCCCTGTGACAATCTGTCTCCTGCTGCAACAGGCACTTGAGAGTCCCTCAGCCCAGCCTGTCTCTTTCTTCTAGGTCCGAGCCATACCTGGGGACATTGGCTTCTCCATTGAAGAGCTGGAAGACCTTTACATGGTGTTTAAGGTGAGAGCCGAGAACAGGGACAGGACCTGTAACTGTGACCTTGTCTTCCTAGAGCATCCTCAGCACAGAGGTTCCTGCCGGAAGAGAAGGGGTTTGGAAGCATCCGTGCATGCACTTGCTGTGAAGTCTTAAGTGGTAGAAGTTAAGCCTTGTTGGAGTTTAGGCAGAACACTCCCTTAGAAAGCACAAGGCAGCTTACAGCAGAAGTTCATGGGCTCAAGGAACTGCAGAGTTGAGGGAGACAGTGTCAGGCCTGGCTGGATCCAGGGACTCAGATGCAGTGTTGTACACTCTCTCACCCTCTGATGCTCTCTGAACTGCGCTTCCTGCAGAGTCCATGGCTGTCTGCAGCTCCAGGGACACGCTATCCCCTCAGTAGCCCCAGGACAAGGGAACCTTTCTTCCAAATGATCAGATTGACTCAAGTTAAGATACTATGGCTCAAGTTAGGATGGTGTTGAATGTTAGGCAAAAAATAAATAAATAAGATTTATTTATTTTTGGGCCTGGCCTAATAGTCTAGTCCTCACCTTGCGTGTGCTGGGATCCCATATGGACTCCGGTTCATATCCTGATTGTTCCATTTCCCTTCCAGCTCCCTGCTTCTGGCTTGGGAAAGCAGTCAAGGATGGCACAAGGCCTTGGGACCCTGCACTCATGTGGGAGACCCGGAACAAGCTCCTGGCTCCTGCCTTCAGATCAGCTTAGCTCCAGCCAGTGTAGTGACTTGGGGAGTGAACCCACAGATAGAAGGTTTTTCCCTCTGTCTTTCCTTCTCTTTGTAAAGCTGCCTTTCTATTTAAAAATATATACATCTTAAAACTATGTTCTAAAACAAAAGGTTTATTTATTTTTATTGGAGAAACAGCTGCAATGACCTGAGCTGAGCCAAAGCCAGGAGCTTCTGGATTCCCCACATGCGCATAAGATCCCAAGGCTTTTGATCATTCCCGATTGCTTTCCCAGATCATAAGCAGAGAGCTAGATTGGGAAATGGAGTCGCTGGGACTAGAACCAGCACCCATTTGCGATGCCCATGCTGGCAGGGAGAGGACTAGTCTACTGAATCATTGTGCCAACTCCTGACTCAAATTTGAGCCAGACACTCACCCTCCCACCCATCCCTGGTGACATGCAAGCACCTCCCCAATGTTCCCTGTGGTTGGAGGGGAAACAGAAGAGGTATTCCACAAGAACGTTAGGTGCTGTTGACAGGAGAGAAGTGCTAAAGAGGAGGCAGAATCACAAAGTCCATGTCATCTGTCTTTCCTGCTGCTACTGATGACTGCCAATTCAGCTGCCCCAAGTGACCACCGTGCTGTGGCCTAGGGTCCCAGCAATTGAGTTCAGTGTGGCCCTCACAGGCTGCCCGAGGGCTTGGTCTCAACTTCCCACTGGTTAGCAAGGGGCTAACAGAACCAATGTGAGAGGTTCTGTGAGCCTGGCCCAGGACACTGCAAAGTGGGATGAAGGAAGGAGGTGGATGCCCAGCCAGCATGGGAATCCTAGCAGCTGAGGGGTAAGAACCTGACCATGTGAAAACATTGTCCCTGCAGGCCAAGCACCTGGCAAGTCAGTACTGGGGAAGCAGCCACACGGCAGCCGCCCGCCGGGACCCGAGCCTGCCATACTTGGAGCAGTATCGGATTGCTGCAAGCCAGTTCCAGGAGCTCTTTGCCTGCCTGACTCCCTGGGCCTGTGGCACCCACACACCTGTGCTGGCAGGCCGCATGTTCCGGCTTTTAGACAAAAACAAGGACTCACTGATCAACTTTAAGGAGTTCGTGACTGGGATGAGTGAGTGCCTCCTGGAGCCTGACCCTGACTTGGCCTTTTCCCATGGCATCCCTGGCCAGTCTGTCCTTCCCTCCCTTGTGGGGCTGGGGCAGCTGGCCGCAGGGAAGGCTGAGCTGGCCTGGCGATACTCTGAGGAAGCCTGGGACTGGCTCCCGGGCCCTCTGCAGCTGTGAGGAGGTCCTGTCCCAGCCCCCTGGAGCCTGCACCGTCCTGGGGAGCCCCTCTCATCATGCCCTCCTCCTGCCTTCTCCCACAGGCGGGATGTACCACGGGGACATGACTGAAAAGCTCAAGGTGCTCTACAAGCTGCACCTTCCCCCAGGTGAGCACGTGCCCCCACACCCCTGGATTGTATGAGGCACTGATTGCACTTTAACCTGAAAGACACTGGGTGTTTACACACTCACCTAAGAATCAGAAAGTAGCAAATAATCCAAGCCAGTCAGCCTTAAAACTGCCACACGGGTCATGGTGGCAGGGGGAGGGTGGCCAGGATGGTCAGGCCAGTCCAGCGGGAAAGGGCAGGTGCGGTCTGCCCAGGAGCTGGGATGCTTGCTCTAGGTGAGACTCTCACTCTACCCATCTCGGAGTGCAGCCCTAAACTCTGAGGAAGCCGAGTCAGCCCTGGAGGCCACCCACTATTTCACGGAAGACAGCTCCTCAGAAGGTGAGTGGATCCCTGAGGCTTCCAGCTGGGGGGCTGGGGGCATTGGGGTGTCCTGAGAGGGGTCTCAAGCTGGGGCCCACCCTGGCTTCCTGCAGCCAGGTGTCCCTGTGGGCAGGCAGTGATCTCACTCCTGTTTCTCTTGTGTCTGTCTTCTTGGATCTCGGCTCCTCCTCCCTCTGCCCTCCTGCTCCTATGCTGTCCTCCCAGCATCTCCTCTGGCCTCTGATCTGGATCTTTTCCTGCCCTGGGAGGCTCAAGGTCAGTGCCCGGAGCACAGGAAGGCTCCCTTGGCTTTGGGTGGCAGCATCCCCTCACACCCCCATCCCCACTCCTGTCCCAAGGCCCCCAGGCCTGGCAGACTCTACCACTGGCACGTGTGTCCTGCTGTGGGGTGGTTAGTAGGTGAGGACATGCACAGGGCCATGGGTCAGCATAGGCAGAGGAAGGAAAAGCAGGGGTGGTCACTGCAACCGCGGGAAACAGACCACAGGGACCAGGGGAAGCCAGGCAGAGTGGGGCAGATGCTCTCCTCAGAAAGCACAAAACACTGCTTTGTGGAGAAGAAATACGGATGTTGAGCCGTTAGAACCCATCCTTATCCTCAGGCTGCATTTAAAGTGTAAAGCACAGGCTGCCAAGTGCCTTCTGGACCCCAGGACTTGATGACATGGCTGGCGACCACTCTGTGCTGTGACGTCATGTGGCAGGCCCAAAGGGGAAACAAATAGTGTGTGTGTCGAAGGACCCACAGGTCCTGCTGACCGTGAAGGCTTAGCTCACGGACCCGGAGGGCCTTGGCTTCCAGTAACAGGCCAAAGCAGCAGGTGTGCTTCCTGTTACACATGGACCCTGGGCAACCTGGGAAGCTTTAAGCTTGTGCTGTGTGCTTCTGGGTGCAGAACCCTGACCTCAGACCCCACAGCACCCCAGGCCCTGCACTGTCACCCATGCTCACTGAGGCAGTTGAGGGCTGGGCTACTTCTGTCCTCGCCTGTCTTCTGGCAGCAGGCCTGGGAGACCAGGGCAGCTTGTTCCTCCCCAGGTTCATGTTCACACGTGAACCGCACAGTGTGGTCCTCCTCCAGCGGATGTGCTGAGCACAGGGTTCATGTCTGTCAAGTTCCTTCCCTCCTGGTGTAGCTGTCATAGGTGTGATCCCACACACGTGACCTTTTCCTAACGAAACCACAGGATTCATCAGTTCTCAGGCTTGTCCATCACACCGCATTGCTGTTTGCATATGGGGGAGACTTGTAGTCTTCTGGAAAAAGAAAACAAAGAAGCAAACACGGAGTGGGATACAGCTGCTGCTGCTTTCAGTGATCAAGTGGGGAAATGCCCAGGCCCTCCTTGACGGTGGTGCCGGAGGGCAGAGCCCAGGGTCAGGCCAAAGCAGGAGGCTCCGTGCAGGGAACCAGAACCCGGGGCTGCTCCCGCACAAGCACAGGCTGGACCTCGGCAGAGGTGGGCTGCAGTCCCAGCTGGAGAAGAATGTGCTCCATGTTGTTATTTCCTGGTTGGCAGAGGCACTACCACAGGAAGATCGGGAAGGAAGCAGAAGCGAGGATACCCAAGAAAAGCGAGCAGGTACAGGCCATTCTCCCCTGACGGCCAGTCAGGGTCTCAGGGCTGAGGTCTGGGGTTTCATGTGGGCTGTGTCCATCCCCAGTCACTTCTGCAAAGCTCCCCCACTGCCTGGCGCCCAGTTGACAGGCATGCCCTGAAGGTCAGTGACCTTGGCTGGAGGCCCTGCTGTCCCCTGTGGTGCCTGGTGTCCCCTGTGAAGCTCTCACCTCCTCAGGCCAACCTCTCACAGCCTAGAACACAGCCTCAGGACCATCCTCATCCCATTGAGCCATCCCTTCTTCAGGGCATTCTCCCCATCAGCACCTCCCCAGATGCAGGTGCTTTGTAACAGGGCCCATCCCACCCCCTGACCCCAAGCTCAAGCCCTCTTTCTGTCATGACAGGCCGAGATTAATGTCTTTTCCTCCTGACTCACAGAGGAGAAGGGCACCAGCCCCCCAGACTACCGACACTACCTTCGCATGTGGGCCAAGGAGAGAGAGGCTCAGAAGGAGACCATCAAGGATCTGCCCAAAATGAACCAGGTGGGCCAGGCTGGAGCCTGCAGCAGACACCTCTGCAGAACCCTGAGGGACACCGGGGCCCAGCATGCCATGTCAGCACCACGCCCCAGGGTCCACACAGGGTGGCACTCATCACTCACTAGCTCACTTGAGCGCCCAGGAGTCCCAGTGAGGATTCTGGAAAGTCAGGAGCTTGTTGCTCAGGGGCCATTTGCACAGGGACCACTTGTTCAGGTGGAGGGACAGTGGTAGGTCTGAGCAGCCCTGGGGAAGGTTACCCCACAGCTGCTTCCTCACACTCCCTGCCCAGGCACCCTGTGCACACAGGCTTGTCTGCTCTCCACTTCCTGCTCTCTGGGGACAGCAGCTTCTTTGTCTTCCCAAGGGTCTCCCAGGCAGGAAGGGGCAACCCCTGGGTTCAGCTGCAGAAAGTAGCCAGAGGCAGTCCCTGAACTACAGCCTGCCCTTAGTGCTTGGGCTGGGCTGGCCCTGGCCATGCCCAGAGGGGCCCTGTGAGCCTGTGAGCCTAAGCCTTCTCCAGCCTGAGGAATGGGTGGTCTCACCCCTCTCTCAGGCCAGGATGTGGTTTAGAGACCCAAGACCACCCTCACCCCCTCAGCAGCACCCTCTGGGAGCTTCCCTGAAGGTCAGAGTTGAAGTCGCTTTCACCCAGGAGCTAGAAGGCCAAGGGTGAGGCCAGACCCCAGGGAGGAAGCCATGGTCAAGGCCGGGTTCACACAGCCATGCATCTCCAACAGCAGAACCACATGTCGGAGCAGAGAGCCCAGCTCAGAGCTGCTGTCCACTGCAGGGGGAGAGCCCGGGAGGGCAGAGTGACTGCTTAGGTCCCTCCCGACTCTGAGCCTCCACATTCCCGTGTGTGAAGTAAGACTAGAGCACTGGTATGGCGCCGATAAGCAGGACCACATCCTGGCACCAGTTCCAGTGGCCAGCAGCATGCGTGGAATGAACACCAGGGCCATCTTACCATCTCCTTGTTCTGCCTTTCCCCTTGATAGGAGCAATTCATTGAGCTGTGCAAGACGCTATACAACATGTTCAGTGAGGACCCCCTGGAGCAGGACTTGTACCACGCCATTGCCACAGTGGCCAGCCTCCTCCTCCGCATCGGCGAGGTGGGGAAGAAGTTCTCCAGTCACAGTGGCAGGAAGCCCACGGATGGCACCCCCAGCAGGGACCAGGGCAGTTCCACCAAGGACGAGTCCCCTCCTCCAGCAAGGGATCCCCCTCAGGACCCAGTACAGGAGCTCCAGCCAGCAGCCGCCGGGGACCCCCAGTCACCAGCAAGGGAACTCAGTCAGGATCCAGTACAGGAATGCCAGCCGCCAGCTGCAGGGGATCCCCAAGCCAAAGCTGGCGGAGACACCCACCTTGGAAAAGTGCCACAAGAGAGCCAGACGGTGGTAGAGGGGGGCAGTGGAGAGGGACAGGGCTCACCCTCCCAGCTCCTGTCTGACGATGAAACCAAAGATGACATATCCATGTCCTCCTACTCAGTGGTCAGCACGAACTCCCTGCATTGTGAGGACCTTATGGACGACACAGTGCTGGTGGGTGTGGAGGCCCGCAGCCCCACAGCCACTGCCCGCATTGGGAACACCGTAGACACAGACTGGTGCATCTCCTTTGAGCAGATCCTGGCCTCCATTCTCACAGAGTCTGTGCTGGTCAACTTCTTTGAGAAAAGGGTGGACATTGGACTCAAGATCAAGGACCAGAAGAAAGTAGAGAGACAGTTGAGTGCCTCCAGTGAGCACGAGCCATCTGTTGCTCTGGGCTGAGCCCCTTGGCTGAGTGATTCTGGCCGAGGCCTCTGTCCCTCCCTCCTTCCCTTTGCAGGTTCTCGTTAAAGACACAGCCCTCCTGCTCCCCCTTGGAAGCAGTGAGTTGTAAGTGAAAGGAAGGCTGATGCCAACACAGCTGCCTTAGAAAGAGTCTCTGGGCCTGCATCTCCTGGCACAGGCCAGTCCTGGGATCCAGGAGTAAGTGATGGATCCTCCATTCCTCTCTGCCCGTGGGAGCTGCCTCAAGCCAGATACCACTACCTACTGTTAGAGGCGCTCCCTTCTGCCCCTGCTTGCCTCATGCCTGTGTGCCCATACTTCAGCCAGTCCACACCAGGACCCTACACCTGTGGGATGCTCTCCTGCAGCTGTAGGCTGGGGTGGAAGCAGAGAACTACCAAGCAATGGAACCTCAGGGTATTACTGTCTGGGAGCCCTTGGTCCTGGCCGAGTGGTGTGGATGGGGGATGCCTGTTGCGTGGGGAGCGGGCACCTCGCAGCGCCCAGGCATGCTCTGCTAGTCATCATCCTCGTCAACCTGGAAGCACACCCCTCAGATCCTGATGAGTTTCCTCATCTCCATTTCAGTTGACTAGAATCACACTGTGCTTGATGCCTTAATAAACCTGTGAAGGAAAGGAAAGTGATGCTGTGTGCAAGACCCTTCCCTACCTCTGGAGCCTCCTGATGGCTCCACAGTCCCATGAGATGGAGAAATACAGGGTACTCAGCTTGGGTGCTGGGTCAAGCCAGGCAGAGCCTATGCTGCCCTGCACACCAGAGCCTGAGCTCCATGGGGCTTTGCAGAGGCACAGGTCTGGGTGCAGAAAGCATGTCTCACAGGGCTAGGCTTCACGCCTGAACCCAGGAAGCAGCCAGTCGGGCCTCCCAGGCTGCTCCAGATCTGAGGTGACCTGCGGGAGCTGAAGCTGCTGTCACCCCATGTGGCTGCTCCCACTGGGGCTGCATTTTGTTGTTATTTAAAAGGTTTACTAAAGCAGAATACACATCCTATACAATGTACTTGTTTTGAGTTAACATTTCAGACATGAAACCAATTCCACAAAGCAATTCTAGAACATTTTTACCACCCTGGAGAGATCCCCCAGGCCCATTTCACTTGCCAATGAACTTAGGTTGGCCTGACCCTGCCTGCCCTATCCCTTTCCAAAACCAACCCACACACATGCCAATGGGTGTAGCTACTCTGCCTGGTCTGACCAACACCCAAGCCTGAATCATGTGCTCACCAGTGGGAGTTACGGACGAACAGAGGAGTTTCCCAGATTCCCCCACCAGAAGCACCCACTGACCCAGATCTCACATGTGACAACAGGTGCTAGGTCTTTACTGTCACAGACTATCCTCTCCTTACCAACCTATGTATGAGCAGTGGATGTGTGTGGCCTGGCCTGCCCCACACTGTATTCTTGGGTGTGCCTGGGCATGCTGCATCCTGGGCCAAGCCAGCCTGTACCAATCCTAGTACCCATGAGTATCTGAGTTTCTGTGATCATGCCTAGCTCAACCTGTCACCACCCCGAGGAAACCAACTAAAATTGCAGCTCACAGGGGTCGGCCCACACATGCCCCACAGAATCTGTCCCCAGACCCAGTTCTCTTGCTTGCTGGTTAGTGTCATGGCCCAGCCTAGCATTTCCCACCCCTGTCCTGACACTCACTGGTGGGTAGTGTGACCTAGCCCCGCCAGGTACACCCCCAGCCTAGGTTTTAGCGTGAGTGGTATTTGATATTGTTCATTCCTAACTACCCTGTCTCTGATCTCCCACATGGGCTGGTGCTTCAGTTTGACCCTTAAAGGTCCTCATATTCTTCCCTCTAAATCACAGCACCAGGTGGCCCGAGGGCTACACCTGGTACCATTGAAACCTGGGCCGTCAGACCCCAAAGCTCCAATGCCTGGGATCCCACCCCCGAATGAAATGACACACCTGGTTCCAAGCACATGGCCACTCAAGCCTCCCAACTGAACCTGGCCTGCTGGGAGCCTGCCCATGGAGGAGGCTGGCCCCTCTGGCACTGAGCACCTGGCTGGCCAATGGGCCCAAGCCTTCAGAACCGAGCCCCACCCCCTAGTAGAACCACCCACCTGGCTCCAAGTGCATGTGATTGCCTGATGGGCTTGAGCTACCAGACTTAAGCCCCACAACATAGAAGCTAGCCCTTGGGGAAAACTGGCCCTCTGGCTCTGAGCCCAAACGAATATACTTTGGATGACCTACAAATGATACTACACCCATTGGAGCAGGTAGCTAGCAAAAGTTTCCAGCCTTGGGAACTGTGAGAGGTCTCCTGTGAGTTTAATTGACATTCTTTTATATGTCAATTGATTTTTTTCATGCGCACATATAAGGATCTTTTCCTTATGCTCGATTGAAGAGAGCTTGATTATCACGTGTCTTGGTGAAGATCACTTTTGGTCAACCCTGTTGGGAGTTCTGTACCCCTCCTGGATGTTGTTTCCCGATTCTTTCTCTAGGTTAGGGAGGTTTTCCCTTATTGAATATACCTTTTTAAAATTTTATTTTTTTTTATAATCTTACTTAGTCGATTAGGGTACAAATGGTCAAGGGCTACAGGAAAGTGGGTAAGACCATTGAATACACCTTTAATCCCAACTTCTCTTTCTGTACCTTCAGGGACTCCCATAACTCTTTTAATCGTGTCTTTCAATTCTTGAACACTTTTTTTAGTTTGATCCAGCTCTGCTTCCAGCTTTCTGTTTGTTTCCTCCTGATGACAGGAAATATCTTCTAATTGTGCCAACATCTCAAATGAGTGCCAGTTCATGGGGGAGCAGTGAGCTCAGACGCATGGCAACGTGACTGTCTACGTTTTATTGAGTTGCAAACCAAAGTTAGGCCTTCGGAGTGAGGGCCTGGTTAGGGAGGGAAGTCAACTTGTTACAGATAGGTTATTCAGAGCAATATAAGAAAAGATAGCAAGGCTCCTCAATGATGGAAGGAGGTTCTCTTGGTGCTATTGGAGCAGGAAGACCATCCTGCCAACTGCATGCACTTTATTCATTCACTTCTTGTTTGTTAAGTGACTCAGCAATAGCCAGGGATGAGATGAACAGAGCAAGGTGGACATGAACCTCCATCACCCTCTGGTGTCCATTTAGGACATGACCTGCTGGGAGGGGCAGGCTCCAGCTGGCTGTGTGAGGTCAGACTAAAGGGCCAGGGAGCCGGAGAAGGGATGGAAGCAGCACCCTCCAAATCATGTCCAATGTGACCTGACCGCAGATCCAATTCAGAACAAATCAGGAGCAAGGAGTGTCCACTTAGGGATTTCCATCCCTGCATGCAGTGCAGGATAGCCTGTGTAACCCAGATGTGATCCTGGGGTGGTGGACGGGAGAGCAACATCTCTGTTTTGATCATACCATGTGCAGAGTCCCAGCAGTGCAATGCAGAATGACAAGCACACTACCTGTCATGTGCCTGGAGGAGCCACTACACCTCGCCAAGCCCATCACAGGACCTGTGTGGCTCCCATCATGGCAGCAGTGAAGGGGACCTGCAGTTCTACAAGTGTCCAAAGCTGGGGCATGGCTGCAGCAGAGCCTGAGCCCCCAGCCTGACAACATGGTAACCTCAACCTCCTAGGCCTCCTTACTTTCCCAGCTTCTTGTGGGACTAAAGACCGGCCTAGGTTTCTATGCTTCATCCCCAGTCTTGCAATGCGACTGTTCCCACTGTTCGGAGGGGAGCCTGTGTCAGTCATGGGGACTGCATCTGGCACCCTCTGGGAACCTGGGCATGGAAATGGAGAGGCCATGTCTCACTCCTCACCCATCTGCTTCTCTTGGACTCGGGTCCTGAGCACCATTGCTAGGTGCCTCAGGCCTTTGGGTTTGGGTGTCAGAGCAAGGGGAATGGGGTCCAGTGAGGGCTTGGGGGATCAGGGTGGGGAGTGAAGAGCCTGGTGTCCATTTCAGCTTAGAGTCGCTTGCCCAGCCCCACTGTTAGACTTTGGATGAGTGAGTCTCAGGCACCTGACCCAGGATTCCTGCTTGCAAGCCACTGTGCTGCATCTCTAGGCACTGCACCAGGCTCTCAGCTGTGTTGTCAGTGCAGGAGAGGGCAGGGCAGAGAAAGGCATCCACTAGAACTCCTCCCCTATAGAATCATCCTGGCAGGCTCTTGTGGTGTGCTGTAGCTGGTGAAGCACCACCTGGGAGGCTGACATTCCATAGGGGCTCCAGTTCCAGGCCCAGTTAATTCATTTCCAGGCTACCTCTCTGCTAATGTGCCTGGGAAGGCAGAGGAAGGCCTCAGACCTCTGAACTCATGACAGGAACTGGAAAGAAGTTTCTGGCTCCTGGCTCTGGGCCAGGCTGTTCAAACCTTGTAGCCATTTGGAGAGTGAGCCAGTGAATACAGACTTGCTCTCCTTCATGTTTCCATTGCAACTCTGTCTTTCGAATGAATAAATGCACCCTTTTTGAAAAATAATGCTCTTGACCTTCCTCTGTTTCTCACTTATATTACACATACAAAACAAATGCATTAATTTCAAAGTTTTGGAAAAGGTTTGGAAAACATTTTAATCTCCTTTTTCTAGAAGTTTAAGAAGGAGAAGCCTCTACATCTACATGGAACCATTTGAACATTGGGGTACAAAGCAGGGGCTGGAGGGGAAGAAGAGAGTCTCTTAGAAGCCCTACTTTAAAGGAGGGGCACCCCTCCCCCTCTATCCACCCATGATCCCAGAGAGTACAGATTTGGTGCCCAAGTGCCAGGTTGCTGGCTGCACTGGACCCTGATTCTTGGACATCTCTCCCCACCGCCCTTCCTGCCGCCCTGGAGGCAAGGGCACTGTCACCTCACCAGACCACAGAGCCCAGGACAGCATCCCAGGCACAGACACAAACAACCTGCACCTCTTGTGCCACTGTCACTGAAGACTCTGCACACTGTGGTTGGCAGCACCCATCCTACTGGGCAGTTCCTTGCCTCCTGGGGCTGCATCTCCCTGGGACAGGATTTTGTTCTGAGGCCCCGCAG